TGTGTGTGTGTGTGTGTGACGCCCCTCCTCAGCGCTCCCTCATTCCTCAGCAGAAGCCTCACTAATTGGCTCCGTCTGCTGTTTCAGATCAATATTGAGATTTACAATCAGAACATTTCCATACTAGAATAATTAATGCTGCAAGCGGCTTTAAAGGCCCTTGTTGCATCTTGCGAAGTTGGTGACGTCAACTCACTTTTGAGGCTGCACTTGTTCAGACGTAAAGCGACTTTGAGCCCTTTTGGTGAAACGTCTGAGGCTGGGTTGTTCAAAGTGCGAGGTGTGAAATTTCGATTTTTTTATTTTACCATTAAAGATGCAGTGAGTGATTTTTTTCCAGATGCATTTTTTTAAATATTGTGGGAAAACGGCCCTAAACCCTTAAAAGTATCAAGTTCTCATGTGTTTTCGTATTAGAATTGACCAGATGCCTATATTCTCCAAAAATTAACAAACAATATTTTGGAGCGGACCGATGAAAATAAACCAATGGGATTATTTCATCCCCAACGAACCAATGGGATGTGTTTACCTTCAGCCTCTTCCTGTTTCTCTGAGTGCACCGGAGTTATCAGATTTTCTATAACATTAAATGGCTGAACAGAAAATGCCAATTTCACGTTCGCTTCACTCTCCCTGTTGTGACAAAGAAAAGAAAATGCTGGATGTTTGGTTTGGTGGAGGGGGAGGGGGAGGGGGAGGGGGGAGTGGTTTCCAGTTGGTGCTACGGCTAAGCTAACAACATCACTTACTGCACCTTTAACATAAATTGGAGAGGGTTTTTTGTCGCCACGGTAACAAGGTAAAAAATATATCATGTCCTCCTTAACTTATTGGATTTGGATGTAAATGTAGTTTTTTCAAAAAGTTTGAAAAAAACTAAATGTGGTGATTTTTGTGCTTGTTCAGGGAGTAATAATTAGGCTCGGGCCTAAATATGATCCTGAATACTGTACTGCACTGCCCTGTATACAGATACCAGCTCAATGAAGACCAGAAGGAGGTGTGCACACACACTTTCTCTGGTCTCTCTCTGGTCTCTCTAGTCTCTCTCTCTCTCTGGTCTCTCTCCCTCTCTCTCTCTCTCTCTCTCTCTCTCTGGGCTCTCTCTGGTCTCTCTCCCTCTTTCTCTCTCTCTCTCTCTGGGCTCATTCTAGTCTCTCTCTCTCTCTCTCTCTCTCTCTGGGCTCTCTCTGGTCTCTCTAGCCTCTCTCTCTCTCTGGTCTCTCTCTGGTCTCTCTCTCTCTTTCTCTGGTCTCTCTCTGGTCTCTCTAGTCTCTCTCTCTCTCTGGCTGTGGACCTTCCCTCCCTCTCTGGTCTCTCTCCCCCTCCCCTGGTCTCTCTCCCCCTCCCCTGGTCTCTCTCCCTCTCTGGTCTTGACCCCTGCTCTCTCAGAGATGGCTGCTTCGCCGCCCTCGTCCTCTTTGTCCACTGAAGGTTGTCCAAACACAGAGCAGAGAAACAGCTCCATTCACCCAACACTCCGCCATTGTCCACACGCGCTAAAAATGCATTTGTGAGTTTTCTGGAGGAGCCGTAGACCTCTCCCCCCCCCCCCCCCCCCTCCTCTCCCTCTTTTCCTCCTCTTTATGGATCATTTCTGCCTTTATCACATAACAATTCTTTCCGTTCCTTTCGTCCTTAAAGATGAGAACGCTTTTTTTAATTTTTATGAACTTGAACTCAGGTCTGTGGGAAGAAGACTCAAGCTGCAGTCTGATGATCCATCTGGAGCCACCAAAGCTGTCTCTGGTCTCTCTCTGGTCTCTCTCTCTGGTCTCTCTCTCTGGTCTCTCTCTCTGGTCTCTCTCTGGTCCCTCTCTCTCTCTCGTTTTTCTCTGGTCTCTCTCTCTCTCGTTTCTCTCTGGTCTCTCTCTGGTCTCTCTCGCTCTCGTTTCTCTAAGGTCTCTCTCTCTGGTCTCTCTTTCTCATTTCTCTCTGGTCTCTCTCTCTCTTGTTTCTTTCTGGTCTCTCTCTCTGGTCTCTCTTTCTCGTTTTTCTCTGGTCTCTCTCTCTCTCGTTTCTCTCCGGTCTCTCTCTGGTCTCTCCTTCGTCCCTTTCCGGTCTCTCTCTCCCTGATCTATCCCTCAAAGGTTTCTCTCTGGTCTCTCTCTCTGGTCTCTCTCTGGTCTCTCTCTCTGGTCTCTCTCTCTGGTCTCTCTGGTCTCTCTCTCTGGTTTCTCTCTGGTCTCTCTTTGGTCTCTCTCTCGTTTCTCTCTGGTCTCTCTCTCTGGTCTCTCTCTGGTCTCTCTCTCTCTCTCTCTCTCTCGTTTCTCTCTGGTCTCTCTCTGGTCACTCTCGCTCTCGTTTCTCTCTGGTCTCTCTCTGGTCTCTCTTTCTCGTTTCTCTCTGGTCTCTCTCTCTCTTGTTTCTTTCTGGTCTCTCTCTCTGGTCTCTCTCTGGTCTCTCTCTCTCTCTCTCTCTCTCGTTTCTCTCTGGTCTCTCTCTCTCTTGTTTCTTTCTGGTCTCTCTCTCTGGTCTCTCTCTGGTCTCTCTCTCTCTCTCTCTCTCTCGTTTATCTCTGGTCTCTCTCTGGTCTCTCTCGCTCTCGTTTCTCTCTGGTCTCTCTCTGGTCTCTCTCTTTCTCGTTTCTCTCTGGTCTCTCTCTCTCTCGTTTCTCTCTGGTCTCTCTCTCTGGTCTCTCTTTCTCGTTTCTCTCTGGTCTCTCCTTCGTCCCTTTACTGGTCTCTCTCTCCCTGATCTATCCCTCAAAGGTTTCTCTCTGGTCTCTCTCTGGTCTCTCTCTCCCTGATCTATCCCTCTGGTCTCTCTCCCTGGTCTTGCTCTGGTCTGTCTCCCTGGTCTCACTGGTCTTTTAACATGTTCTGCTTAAGACATTGTGAGGCTAAACATACAGTTGCTGCAGGTCTGTGATGGAACAAGGAAGAACATGTCTACAATAGAAAAGGCACAAAAGTCTTCTCTCACACACACAGATACACACGTGCACACAAACACACACACACACACAAACACACACACACACACAAAAGGCTTGCAGGGAGCAGAGCAGAAGTCCCATGCAGCGTCCACTTTGCACAAACGCCACAATCATGTCATTTCAGCTCCACTCTCAGTGTGAAGCCATGAAGTACAAAGACACACACACACACACACACACACACACACACACACACACTCTGGCCCCTCTGTCTCTCTGGTCTATCTTTCTGGTCTCTTTTTCATTTTTCGGTCTGGAAAGCCGATGTAAGAATAAGACAGCAGGTTGGGTCAGATTTGTTCACAACATTTTACTTTAAGAATCGTTCTGTTACGTGCCCCATATTTAAAATGATGTGTTCCAGCTTTAATCATGGCTCATTTTTAGGATAAAAAGTGAAATTAGCAACTGGTTTCTTCACAGCTCTTCATAAATACTAACATCTTTGCTGGACCATCAGAGGATATTATCTGCTTCAGTGATAGATTCATCCACCCCCGCTGTGTGAGAGGTTCTTCAGCTCCTTCCTTCCTGCTGCTGTCAGACTGTACAACGAGAACTGCTGAGTCTGTACATGTTCGTCATCTGTGCATCCATCCATTCATCCATTTTCTTCTCTATCCACACACACTTCCTCCATAGTCCCTCCAGCGTGTCCTGGGTCTTCCCTGGGGCCTCCTCCCGGTGAGACGTGCCCGGAACACCTCCCCAGGGAGGCGTCCAGGAGGCATCCGGAACAGATGCCCGAGCCACCTCAACTGGTTCCTCTCGACATGGAGTAGCAGCGGCTCTACTCCGAGCTCCTCCCGTGTGACTGAGCTCCTCACCCTATATCTAAGGAAGCGCCCATCTAAGGGAGCGCCCTCCGCTGGGCGCCCAGCGCCCAGCGGAGGAAGCTCATTTCGACCGCTTGTATCCGCGATCTCATTCTTTCGGTCATTACCCAAAGCTCATAACCATAGGTGAGGGAGGGAACGAAGATTGACCGGTAAATAGAGAGCTTTGTCTTTCGGCTCAGCTCCCTCTTCACCACGACAGTCCGATACAGCTCTGACTGCTGACGCTGCTCCCTCTTCACCACAACGGTCTGATACAGCGGCCGCATCACTGCACACGCTGCACCGATCTCACGCTCCATCCTTCCCTCCTTTTTCCGGTCGAGCACCATGGCCTTAGATTTGGAGGTGCTGATTCTCATCCCAGCCGCTTCACACTCGGTTGAAAAACCGTCCTAGTGCATGTTGAAGGTCTGGTTTGCGTCGGAGCCAACAGGACAACATCGTTCGCAAACAGCAGAGATGAAATCCTGCACTCTCCAAACTGAATGTTTGGACACAATTTTCATTCAATGAGTTTCCTGTCTTTTCATGACAATTGACTGTAGATTCACACTCAGGCTGTGCAAGGACTATTTGACCAATCTCCACAGTCCCCGGAACTGAACCCAATCCAGATGGTTTTGGGGTGAGCTGGACCACAGAGTGACGGCGAAAGGGCTGACCATCTCTGGGAACGCCTTCAAGACTGTTGAAGACCATTTCAGGTCACTTCATCTTTAAGAGCTCATTAAGAGAATGCCAAGAGTGTGCGAAGCAGTAATCAGAGCAAAAGGTGCTACTTTGAACAACCAAGAATATAAGACTTTTTTTTCATTTGTTTCATTCTTTTTTTTTAATGTACATAAGTTCATTTATAGATTTGATGCTTTCAGTGTGAATCTACAATTTCCATGAAAGAATAAATAAAAAACTCTTTGAATGAGAAGGTGCCACCACACTTTTGGTCTGTACTGTATATATATAGGCTATATGTTGTTATTTTGTATAATAAATTTATATCTTGAGAGAATCATTGAATCCGTTTCGAAAGCCGTTTTATTTGCCTGTTGATTACATTGAAGCTCACATCCGGGGCCCGTGAGCTCACATCCGGTCCCGTGCTGTCACATGACTGGGCCTCCGCTCCTCCACATCCTCCTGTTTTCCACCGGGACAGATCCATCTCCTCAGCGCCTGTACTCCTGCACACAACCGGCTCTCTGCGCTCCTTCCCCGGCACCATGGCCACTCTCGTTACGAACCGAGGTCTGGACAGTCTCTCTGCGGCTGCAAGGACCCACACGCAGGCGGTCACCCGAAACTACATCTCCCAACCCCGGCTGAGTGAGTGTTAACCCCCGCTGCAGTATCTCTGCACCAGCCACATCTTCAACTCAACTACCGAGCCACAATTTACACAAACTCAATGCATTATGTGTATGTCTGCAGCCACAGCCACATCTCACCACACAGGCCTCAGTGACGGCTCATTTTAGTCGTTACACTAATGTAACGTTCCTTCTAAACTGCATCTGACGCATCAACCTGATGGAAAAGGTTCATTCATGCTGCAGTCATACACTGTCATACACTGTCATACACTGTCATACACTGTCATACACTGTCATACACTGTCATACACTGTCATACACTGTCATACACTGTCATACACTGTCATACACTGTCATACACTGTCATACACTGTCATACACTGTCATACACTGTCATACACTGTCATACACTGTCATACACTGTGGAAGAAGGCCACAGGCATCACCACAGCGTGTTATACTACATTTTCAGTAATATCACAATCGCACATTTTTCTACTGCTCTTAGCTAGTTCTAATCTGCAAAATGATTCACAAAGCGTACATGTCTTTCATAAACACTAGCTTTTTGCCCTGTCACTCTTTGGCCTCTCTGGCCTCTCTCTGGTCTCTCTCTGGTCTCTCTCTGGTCTCTCTCTGGTCTCTCTCTGGTCTCTCTCTGGTCTCTCTCTGGTCTCTCTCTGGTCTCTCTCTGGTCTCTCTCTGGTCTCTCTCTGGTCTCTCTGGTCTCTCTGGTCTCTCTCTGGTCTCTCTCTGGTCTCTCTCTGGTCTCTCTCTGGTCTCTCTCTGGTTTCTCTCTGGCCTCTCTCTGGCCTCTCTCTGGCCTCTCTCTGGCCTCTCTCTGGTCTCTCTGGTTTCTCTCTGGTCTCTCTCTGGTCTCTCTCTGGTTTCTCTCTGGTCTCTCTCTGGTTTCTCTCTGGTCTCTCTCTGGTCTCTCTCTGGTCTCTCTGGTCTCTCTCTGGTCTCTCTCTGGTCTCTCTCTGGTCTCTCTCTGGTCTCTCTCTGGTTCTCTCTCTGGTTTCTCTCTGGTCTCTCTCTGGTTTCTCTCTGGTCTCTCTCTGGTCTCTCTCTGGTCTCTCTCTGGTCTCTCTCTGGTCTCTCTCTGGTCTCTCTCTGGTCTCTCTGGTCTCTCTCTGGTCTCTCTCTGGTCTCTCTCTGGTCTCTTGCTCTCTGGTCTCTCTCTGGTCTCTCTCTGGTCTCTCTCTGGTCTCTCTCTGGTCTCTCTCTGGTCTCTCTCTGGTCTCTCTTTGGTCTCTCTCTGGTCTCTCTCTGGTCTCTCTTTGGCCTCTCTGGTCTCTCTCTTTAGCCTCTCTGGTCTCTCTCTTTGGCCTCTCTGGTCTCTCTCTTTGACCTCTCTGGTCTCTCTCTTTGGCCTCTCTGATCTCTCTCTTTGGCCTCTCTGGTCTCTCTCTTTGCCCTCTCTGGTCTCTCTCTTTGGCTTCTCTGGTCTCTCTCTTTGGCCTCTCTGGTCTCTCTCTTTGGCCTCTCTGGTCTCTCTCTTTGGCCTCTCTGGTCTCTCTCTTTGGCCTCTCTGGTCTCTCTCTTTGGCCTCTCTGGTCTCTCTCTTTGGCCTCTCTGGTCTCTCTCTTTGGCCTCTCTGGTCTCTCTCTTTGGCCTCTCTGGTCTCTCTCTCTTTGGCCTCTCTGGTCTCTCTCTCTTTGGCCTCTCTGGTCTCTCTCTTTGGCCTCTCTGGTCTCTCTCTTTGGCCTCTCTGGTCTCTCTCTTTGGCCTCTCTGGTCTCTCTCTTTGGCCTCTCTGGTCTCTCTCTCTTTGGCCTCTCTGGTCTCTCTCTTTGGCCTCTCTGGTCTCTCTCTTTGGCCTCTCTGGTCTCTCTCTTTGGCCTCTCTGGTCTCTCTCTCTTTGGCCTCTCTGATCTCTCTCTCTTTGGCCTCTCTGGTCTCTCTCTTTGGCCTCTCTGGTCTCTCTCTTTGGCCTCTCTGGTCTCTCTCTTTGACCTCTCTGATCTCTCTCTCTTTGGCCTCTCTGGTCTCTCTCTTTGACCTCTCTGATCTCTCTCTCTTTGGCCTCTCTGGTCTCTCTCTTTGACCTCTCTGATCTCTCTCTCTTTGGCCTCTCTGGTCTCTCTCTTTGGCCTCTCTGGTCTCTCTCTTTGGCCTCTCTGGTCTCTCTCTTTGGCCTCTCTGATCTCTCTCTTTGACCTCTCTGGTCTCTCTCTTTGACCTCTCTGGTCTCTCTCTCTTTGACCTCTCTGGTCTCTCTCTTTGGCCTCTCTGGTCTCTCTCTTTGGCCTCTCTGGTCTCTCTCTTTGGCCTCTCTGGTCTCTCTCTTTGGCCTCTCTGGTCTCTCTCTCTTTGGCCTCTCTGGTCTCTCTCTCTTTGGCCTCTCTGGTCTCTCTCTTTGGCCTCTCTGGTCTCTCTCTCTTTGGCCTCTCTGGTCTCTCTCTCTTTGGCCTCTCTGATCTCTCTCTCTTTGGCCTCTCTGGTCTCTCTCTTTGGCCTCTCTGGTCTCTCTCTTTGGCCTCTCTGGTCTCTCTCTTTGACCTCTCTGATCTCTCTCTCTTTGGCCTCTCTGGTCTCTCTCTTTGACCTCTCTGATCTCTCTCTCTTTGACCTCTCTGGTCTCTCTCTTTGACCTCTCTGATCTCTCTCTTTGGCCTCTCTGGTCTCTCTCTTTGGCCTCTCTGGTCTCTCTCTTTGGCCTCTCTGGTCTCTCTCTTTGGCCTCTCTGATCTCTCTCTTTGACCTCTCTGATCTCTCTCTTTGACCTCTCTGATCTCTCTCTTTGACCTCTCTGATCTCTCTCTTTGGCCTTCTCTCTCTTTGACCTCTCTGGTCTCTCTCTTTGACCTCTCTGATCTCTCTCTTTGACCTCTCTGATCTCTGTACATAATGAGCTCAAATATTTTCTGTCGATGCAACGTCTTCTAACTACTAAGTTAAAGTACACTAGCTCAAAGCTAAGTTATAATTCTCTAATATTATTCTATTCTATAATGAACAAGACGCTGTGTCTAAATCTATACAGTTTCATATTCCCTTTATTATCGTGTCGTGACTCAAAGATGTATAAATACTGCATCGTGTTTTCTCTCAAGATCAAGAATTACACACTTAAGTTGAATCTTAGTACTTCCCAAATGTATACTAATATATTATACACCTTGTTTGATTTGGTGATCTGTTACAATGTTGTATCCTTCTGCGGCTTAATCCATCTGTCCATACATAAGCTGTCAAACTAGGCTAACAGGATAACTGCTGCTAACGGAAAGGGTCATTGGAAAAACTCCTCTTAGTTCCATGTACATTGTGTTATTGCATTTTCGTTTGGTCGTGTGTGTATTCTGAATGGGTGCGGGGACTAACGGGCAAAATTATAAGTAGATTTAAACGGAATACTTGTCAAAAATGCATTGTTTTAAGCTAGCAGCCGTTAGCATGAGCCGTTAGCATGAGCTGTCAGCTGACGGGAGCTCTGCGCTGGATGAATGAGGAACTGGGATCATAATGTACTATAATCATTTCAATCGTGGATTTTACCATAATGGGACACGCCTGAACACATTGTCCTCTGTTTTATGGTCACATATTTATCTCTGGGTGGTTTTACTTTAGGCATTTGGCTATTCTGTGTGTTTTTTCGTCGTGTTTTGGCAGTTGGCATTAGCATGTTAGCTCAGCCTGTGTCAGCTGACGGTCACGTGAGCTTCATCACGAGGACAGGGCTGCGTCAGAATCCACTCTCAGAACTTCCTCATCTCTCATCCTTAATTTCCTTAAAACATTGTTTAAAAAAATAATAAAAAACACAGCAGCTTCAGGTTTAGCCAAGTTAAACACTCTTAAGAATTAAAGGTGGGTTCTATCACTTTCAAACCACGAAAAATGAAACACTATTAAGCTCCTCTGGTTCTGGATCTGAAAGAGTTGCTTTCATCACAAGGGAGAGGGTAAGGGTTAGAGAGCTCTCACCCCTGTGAAATAGTGGCTTTTTCTCACATGACTTTTTACTTGAAGACTTTCTTTGCAAACTACATAGGTTATTTATGAGACTAAAGTTGGCTACCTCAGATTTAAGATTTGTTTTAAATATATATTAGGAGGGGGAGGAGGACTTACAAGGTGGTGTAGAATGTCACACACACAAGTTATTTTTGGACTAAACGTCATGTTACAGTAGTTTAAACAATTATGAGCTTTGGGTAATGACCAAAAGGACGAGAATGCGGATACAAGCGGAAAAAATGAGCTTCCCCAGCAGAGTGGCTGGGCGCTCCCTTAGAGATAGGGTGAGGAGCTCAGTCACACGGGAGGAGCTTGGAGTAGAGCCGCTGCTTCTCCACATCAAGAGGAACCAGTTGAAGAGGGTCTGTTCCAGATGCCTCCCGGACGCCTCTCTGGGGACACGCTGGACTGACTATGTCTCTCAGCTGGCCTGGCCACGCCTTGGGGTCCCCCCGGACGAGCTGGAGGAAGTGTGTGGATAGGGAAATCTGGGCGTCTCTGCTTAGACTGCTTCGACCTGGCAACTTATGAAGCGGAAGAAAAAGGATGGCTAGATGGACAAGAAGTAACACTGTGATCTGTAACTTTAATCTCATAAACAACACATGTTTAAAGCTGGGGTCTGTAACTATAGGCTTTATTATTTTGTGTGTGTGTGTTACACTCAGTATAAAGCTGTTCTGTGGGTTCTCAGTGTGGTCACTAAACAACATCATGAAGGTTAAAGGAGACGTCAGAAGTCGGAGGAATGTAATGTATAACACAAACATTACAGGAGGCTCAGGAGGTGCTCCTACTGTAAACATATAAAATGTATAAACCCTGTGTGTAAGTGAGCGCTCTCGTTGGCGCTCTCGTTGGTGCGCTGCGCTCTCTCGGAGCCATTGTTCCCAAACATATTTAAGTTAATGTCAGTGACGGTGCGCGGCTGAAAGCCTCTTAACAAACGCCAAATGACTTAATGGAGCCGAGCGTTTTAGCAGCAGCGCGAGAAAAGACCTGCGTCTTAATGTTTGGACTGAAGAGAAAAGAGGACGCAGCTTTTAAGACTCAGAAGGTGTGTAATCAGCTTTATGGTCCATCAGAACAGTTTAAAGAGCAGGAGAATGCAGCTCAGGACGACACATGGTCCATCAGACAAGTTTACAGAGCTGGAGAGTGCAGCTTAGGACAACACATGGTCCAGACCATCAGGTCTTCAGAGGGGACACCTCCCTCTGTGTATTTGGGTCGTCGTTTAAAGCAGTGCACCGCTGAGGCCTATTTCTCCACATTTGAATATCTCTGGTCTCTCTATAGACTCTGGTCACTCTCTGGCCCTTGGTTTCTCTGGCCATTGGTTCTGGTTTCTCTGGTCCCTGGTTTCTCTGGTCCCTGGTTTCTCTGGTCCCTGATCTGCAGATGTTGGGTCTTTGTCGCTGGTGTCACACGACACAAAGCGCATGTCTCGCTTTTGTTTTAGAGCTGCGTCTGTGTGAGAAGCCGAGTCCTTTGTGCGGTGCTCATTAGGCGCCATAATGCGGTGGCGGTAAACAAGCCCGTCTGTCAGCCGCTGCTCGCTGCTGTCACAGAAGTGGGCGGTTGTCAGTCTCGCACAGCACTCGCTCTTTGGAGCTGACACCATTTGTTCAGTGTTCACCGCGGCGCGCGCCACGCAACACGCAGCTAATGTGATAATTAACAACATTAAAACAAAAAGGATTAACACAGAGGGGAGGGGCTGTCACTGTCTTACGAGGTGGAGGGGGGTGAGACACAAGGCCGGAGGGGGGAGACGGGGGTGTCTCGTCTTCGTCAGCCCTGGTTTAGCTCTGGTTTTGTTTTTTGCGTCTTCGTGTTATTATCAAATTGTGTTCCTGTGACCACTGTGCTGTTCTCTGATTGGTTGCCGCACGTCTGTTAACTTTTAGCTTGAACTCGCAGCAACTCACGATTCTTTGCAAACGCCCCATTAGAGCCCGCTCTACTGGTCTGTATTAGAGCCCATTCTCCTGGTCTGTGTTAGAGCCCACTCTACTGGTCTGTGTTAGAGCCCACTCTACTGGTCTGTGTTAGAGCCCGCTCTACTGGTCTGTGTTAGAGCCCGCTCTACTGGTCTGTGTTAGAGCCCGCTCTACTGGTCTGTGTTAGAGCCCGCTCTACTGGTCTGTGTTAGAGCCCGCTCTACTGGTCTGTATTAGAGCCCACTCTCCTGGTCTGTATTAGAGCCCGCTCTCATGGTATGTGTTAGAGCCCACTCTACTGGTGTGTATTAGAGCCTGGTCTGCTGGTGTGTATTAGAGCCCGGTCTGCTGGTGTGTATTAGAGCCCGCTCTGCTGGTGTGTATTAGAGCCCGCTCTGCTGGTGTGTATTAGAGCCCGCTCTGCTGGTCTGTATGAGAGCCCGCTCTGCTGGTGTGTATGAGAGCCCGCTCTGCTGGTGTGTATTAGAGCCCGCTCTGCTGGTGTGTATTAGAGCCCGCTCTGCTGGTGTGTATTAGAGCCCGCTCTGCTGGTGTGTATTAGAGCCCGCTCTGCTGGTGTGTATTAGAGCCCGCTCTGCTGGTGTGTATTAGAGCCCGCTCTGCTGGTCTGTATTAGAGCCCGCTCTGCTGGTCTGTATTCGAGCCCGCTGTGAGTGACATGTTTAAACACATTCAGTCCAAACACAGCGTTGCTACAAAAACACACTTTTATGAAAATTCCATCGTTTCTAAAACACGATGTTTTGTCCGAATGCGCCGCCTCAGAGCGAGCTGCACCAGCTTCATTGTCCGCAGCAGAAAAGGCTCTAATAGCGGCATTTACCCCCGACGGGACGCAGGCTTTAAAGGAGCTGCTCTTGGCGCAGGTTTGGTAATGGCTCCAATCATCATAATCATCATAATAGCAGCGGCGCTGCAATCTCACGCTCTCAGGAATCTGAGAAACACATTAAAGAGACAAAGAGGAAGCAACACTGTGTTCTGTCTGAAATTAAAGATGTGCACTTTATTATGAGGAAACATGTGTTTAGTGGAGTAAGAGATGACCAGGATGAGCAGCAGCTGTCCTGATACTGTGGAAGGAGGCTAAAGTTACAGACCCCAGTTTATAGCATGTGCTGTTTATGAGATTAAAATTACAGACCTCAGCTTTATTTGAACTCCTCTTAATCCCATTTGTTTTGTTCTTTTTAAAAACACGACGCCGCTGTCCTGACCCCGGCGCGCAGCACAAACACATATTTGACTCTTTCGGCTCAAACTGCGGCGAACACTGAAATTACACATGACATTTGTCCCCCACCCCTATCCCGCCTCACCCTCTCCCCCCTCATTATGGTGCGTCCATATGGAAAGGCCACAGTGCGAGCCGCGCATTAGAGCTGACATTTGTGTGTTCCGCCGCCGTGCACAAAGGTCACATCGCGCACTGTCATTTACCTGAGAATAACACGGCTCTGTGTGTCTCTGGTATCTCTGGTCTTTTTCTCTCTGGTCTCTCAATCTCTTGTCGCTCTCTCTCTGGTCTGTCTCTGCTGGTTCTTAACCATGTGTGTTTTGCAGCGTACTCCACGGTCTCTGGCGTGAATGGACCTCTGGTGATTCTGGACAATGTGAAGGTAAAGTCTCTGGTTTCTGTTGTGTTTAACAGGATTAGCACAGTTTCAACATTTACAGCGGCAGCAGGAGGCAAAGGTCCAGGCTCCGGTGACATTGCCTTATTCACACCTGTGCTAGAACACCTGGTGACATCATCACGGTTAAAGCTGGGGTCTGTAACTTTAAAGCTGGCATCTGTATCTCTCAGACCAATAGAACTCTGTTTTAGAGTCAGAGACCAACAGCTGCTTCTGTCACTAGTTTCATGTGTTTCTGTCTGTCGATCAGCTCTCTGCCCAAAGCGAGTCACAGAATCTTTCTAACACAAAGTTAAGATGGCTTGCGCTGTTTGATTTGTTTACAACATTTTAGTTTTATAAGACTGTCATTTAAGATGCTAAAGTTACAGATCTGAGCATTAGACATGTGTTATTTAAAGCTAAAGTTAGGTTCCTGAGCTTTAATGTCCTGTGTTTCAGTTCCCTCGTTATGCTGAGATCGTGCACCTCACTCTCCCTGATGGGACCAAACGCAGCGGTCAGGTGCTGGAGGTCATCGGGAGCAAAGCTGTGGTGCAGGTCTGTCTCATCACACTACACTGTATACATATGCTAACCTCATGCTAACCCGCTAGCTCAATGAAACCCAATAAGGAAGTGCTCATGGTGAGGTTGGGCTCCTTTTGACATGTAACAGTAAACTTTTCAAGCTGTTTGTGTCACACAAAAATTGGACAGTTTTGGAGAAGAGGGGGCAGCGAGAGCTCTGTTCCATCTCTCACCTCTGGTCCTTTGGGTAAAGACTGAATACAAGCTCCACATCCACATGAGTTTCCTCTAGAGTGGAACTCCCTTAGAGATGGAGGAGCTCAGTTACACAGGAGGAGCTCGGCGTGTCTCACAGGGATGACTGGGATTCCCCCAGATGAGCTGGAGGTGTGTAGAGAGAGAAGTTTGATTAATCTTTGTTAAAATGTTTTGCTTTGACATCAGGTTTTTGAGGGAACGTCTGGGATCGATGCCAAGAAAACGGCCTGTGAGTTCACCGGGGACATCCTGAGGACACCAGTGTCTGAGGACATGTTAGGTACGAGCACTGCCACCCTCCACCAAGAGAGCCAGAGAGAGCGAGAGCCAGAGAGAGCGAGAGCCAGAGAGAGCGAGAGCCAGAGAGAGCGAGAGCCAGAGAGAGCGAGAGCCAGAGAGAGCGAGAGCCAGAGAGAGCGAGAGCCAGAGAGAGCTGTTGTACAGTCTGACAGCATCATGTTGCACAGAATATAAATGTTGTTTATGGTCCCCTTTAACTCGTCGTGATAAACAGCAGCTCTCTGCTCTGATGTTGTCAATAATACACATATTTAAATGAGTGCGTGATCATAAACTCATGATTTTAATGACACTTGAGAGACAAGAGCGGCGCAGAGGCGGGCGCCGCGGCCTTGGATGCACTGAGCTAATCTGAGCCAACGTTCACAAAAGTCGTTAGTGACAAAACCAGGAGAAACCTTGTGCGCCGTTTCAGACTAATTAAACCTAGACGCGGTTCAGACGGGGAACCGGCAGCGTGCGCTTTGTCTGCGCACACAAAGACACGGTCTCAAAGCCCGCGCTGCGGGAAGGTCTGTGGTTTGAGTCCAGGAGCCAGGTGTTTTTCTTCTACTGCAGGAAACAAAGATCAACAGAATCTGGGTGTTCAATGTAATGTGACATCACAGACTGAATACTTTCCCACACCAGGATATTTGGAGTTAGAGACAAAGTTTAGACCAAGGCCTGAGATCCCAAAGGCAAAAGCAAAGGTGCACTTTGCAGGTTTGAATCTTGCTCTGGACGTCTGAGAAAACAAACATAACATGGATGTATTTATTACTCACTATCTTTATTGAAGCAGAAAGATTTCAGAATCTCATCAGGGGAGTCCTGCCCCAGACGGGAGGGGCTCACAGGGGACTATTGTCCATGTTTAAGTGGTAAGGGAAACCTACACAGACACAGGGAGAAAATGCAAACTGTCTGGAGATGTATTATTTACCCTCGGCTGATAATTGACTCTGCTCTCCTCTCCCCCTCTCTGCTCTCTTCTCTCCTCTCCCCCTCTCTGCTCTCTTCTCTCCTCTCTTCTCTCCTCTCCCCCTCTCTACCCTCTATCCTCTCCTCTCTCCTCTCTCTTCCTCTTTCCCCTTTTCTCCTCAGGTCGTGTGTTTAACGGCTCGGGCAAACCCATCGACCGCGGCCCCACCGTACTGGCAGAAGACTACCTGGATATCATGGGTAAGAGTGGAGGAGTACCTAGGGCTCCTGGTGTGATGATGTGGAGGAGCAGCAGCTGTAGCTCGAGCTCTCCTGGTCTAACACAGGATTTGTCTGTAGGTCAGCCCATAAACCCTCAGTGCAGGATCTACCCAGAGGAGATGATCCAAACCGGGATCTCTGCCATCGACGGCATGAACTCAATCGCCCGAGGGCAGAAGATCCCCATCTTCTCTGCAGCCGGACTTCCCCACAACGAGGTACACACCTGTGATACAACTACTACACAACAATATACTGTGGTCCCTCACGGTTGCCTTTTGCTGATTTGTGGATTTGTTGTGTAATTGCACTGTTTGTTGTTTGTTGTTTGTCATGCTCCAGCTGTTTACTCCAGCTTCCTAAAACCGCTATTATGTTTCCTTTATTTAAAGACAGAAGAAAACTTTTGTGGCTTGTGTGCACCACAGTACTTTGTCGCAGGACTCTCTCTCTGGTCTCTCTCTGGCCCTGACCAGGGAGGGAGCGAGAGAGACCAGAAATACATACAAGTGGAAACTGGAGAGAAGCACACTTTGATATAACCCTTAAATAGTTATATTTTTGTGCTGTGAAAGTTACCGGCGCTTTAAGACTTCCACATTAAAAGTCCCATTATATTACTCTCAATAAACTAATTTAACTGGATATTTCCTCCTCAAAGTCTTAAATTCACCTTTTGCAAAAACCTGATTTCCAGCGTTGGTAATAAGGACCTGTGTTTACAGCAGCACAAAGCGCTGCGCTCTGAGACAAGTGCTGGTGAAACGTCTCTTTTTTTCTCCTTTTTGATAACTCTCATGACCTCATCTCCTGCGATTGTGCGTCGGCCGAGTCCTTGTTCCCGTCCTTTATATTCATATCCATCGCGCGCACAAAGCCGCTCCTTAAACTGCTCTGAACGCAGTTATTTCTGCGCCGCTTTGTTGCCGCACTTGAGTTTTTATGGGTTTTCCGTGCACCGCGAGTGAAGGCCACTGCTTTTCTTTTGGAGGTCTGTTTTTGGCGTAGGTGGGCAGGACGTGAAAGGATGCGGCGGCGCGGGTTCAGGGCTGCGGACACAAATGGATTCTAGAGAGTTTGGAAGTGTGAAAGAGGCCGAGCGCCGCCGCAGCAAAAGAGACAAGAGGGAGCGCAGAAGGCATGTGAGGCATGAGAGGAGCGCATTTAACAGGAGCTGACAGAGCCCTGATGGGTCCCCACTGTTCAGTGTGTCTCACTCTGGTCCCCACTGTTCAGTGTGTCTCACTCTGGTCCCCACTGTTCAGTGTGTCTCACTCTGGTCCCCACTGTCCAGTGTGTCTCACTCTGGTCCCCACTGTCCAGTGTGTCTCACTCTGGCCCCCACTGTCCAGTGTGTCTCACTCTGGTCCCCACTGTCCAGTGTGTCTCACTCTGGCCCCCACTGTCCAGTGTGTCTCACTCTGGTCCCCACTGTTCAGACTGTGTATATGTGTGAGAATGTGATTTTTATTTGACAGAAAATCTATAGTTTGAATAAAGTCAATTTGAGAAAAGTAAGAAAATATGTGTAAAAGAACAAGACCTTGACCAAGGGTCCCCACTGTTCAGACTGTCTTGGCCAGACAGGGGCCTAGAACCGATGACATCATATATATTCTAATAGATGTGTCTGTGTCCGTGTGTGTCCTCAGATTGCGGCTCAGATCTGTCGTCAGGCCGGTTTGGTGCAGAAGTCCAAAGACGTGATGGACTATAGCGAAGAGAACTTCGCCATTGTGTTCGCTGCCATGGGGGTGAGACCACTGACCTGTTTCTGGTCCGGACCCGAGGCCACAGACCTGCTTTTGGTCCGGACCCGAGGCCACGGACCTGGGTACGGACCTGGTTCTGGTCCGTACCCGAGGCCACGGACCTGGTTCTGGTCCGTACCCGAGGCCACAGAAACTGAGCCTTGACCACAAAACTGGGTTTGAAACTACAGAAACTGGGTCTGAGATCTCAGAAACTGGCTCTGGTCTGGACCTGAGACCACAGACCTGGGTCTGACCTCTCCTCTGCCCTCTACAGGTGAACATGGAAACTGCACGTTTCTTTAAATCCGACTTTGAGGAAAACGGCTCCATGGACAACGTTTGTCTGTTCCTGAACCTCGCCAACGACCCCACGTCAGTGCTCTACCCTGCTCTGCTCTGCTCTTCCCTGCTCTACCCTGCTCTACCCTGCTCTACCCTGCTCTGCTCTGCTCTGCTCTACCCTGCTCTGCTCTGCTCTGCTCTACCCTGCTTTGCTCTGCTCTGCTCTGCTCTACTCCTGACCTCTGATCTGTGTCCTCAGGATCGAGCGCATCATCACCCCTCGTCTGGCTCTGACCACAGCTGAGTATCTGGCGTATCAATGCGAGAAACATGTGCTGGTGATTCTGACCGACATGAGCTCCTACGCAGAGGCTCTCAGAGAGGTATGTAGACTGTTATATAGACTATTGGGGTAGTCTCTCTGAAATTGGGGTGGTCTCTGCTCAGGTGTCCGCTGCCCGAGAGGAGGTGCCAGGTCGGCGTGGTTTCCCCGGTTACATGTACACAGATCTGGCCACCATCTACGAGAGGGCGGGGCGAGTGGAGGGACGCAACGGCTCCATCACCCAGATCCCCATCCTCACCATGCCTAACGACGGTAACTATGGGGCATCCTCACCCTGAGTATATTAACAATGGGCCATCCTCACCCTGACGACAGTAACTATGGGCCATCCTCACCCCTACGACGGTAACTATGGGCCATCCTCACCCTGACGACAGTAACTATGGGCCATCCTCACCCTGACGACGGTAACTATGGGCCATCCTCACCCTGACGACGGTAACTATGGGCCATCCTCACCCTGACGACGGTAACTATGGGCCATCCTCACCCTAAAGACGGTAACTATGGGCCGTACAGATTGAGGCAAACATTTATGTGGGTGATATAATTTACAGTTGACATTTTTTAAATGTTATTATATTTTTTAACAAACCTGTGATACATTCCACACATTTCTCACAAAAATAGTAAAATTAACGGTATTCATTAGATTAGTCTCTCTTCTGAGAGGCGCAGTACAGAGCCGTTTGATGCCGCTTGCAGCTTTAATAACTCTTATGTTTGTTTCAGACATCACTCATCCCATTCCTGATTTAACTGGATACATCACAGAGGGACAGGTCTATGTGGACCGCCAGCTGCACAACAGACAGGTCTGGACCAGGACCCGGGGGCCAGACTGAGATTGACCAGGGGTCAGGGACCAGGGGCCAAACTTGGGCCAGTGGCCAGACTTGGACCGAACCAGGGTTCAGGACCACACCGAGACAGGGACCAGACTGAGACCAGGGACCAGACTGACCCCAGCCGTCTCTGTTCCAGATCTATCCTCCCATAAACGTTCTTCCGTCGTTGTCTCGTCTGATGAAATCTGCCATCGGTGAAGGAATGACCAGGAAGGACCACGCTGACGTCTCCAACCAACTGGTACCTCCTCCTGCTATCTCTGTCTCCACCTTGTACCTCCCCCCCATCTGTCTCCACCTGGTGCTTCCCCCGTCTCAGTAACAGTGTTTGCATGTTCTCCCTGTGCAGTACGCCTGTTATGCAATCGGGAAAGACGTTCAGGCGATGAAGGCGGTCGTCGGTGAAGAGGCTCTGACCTCGGACGATCTTCTGTATCTGGAATTTCTGCAGAAGTTTGAGAAGAACTTCATCGCTCAAGGTTAGAGCTGACATTAGAGCTAAACTCTACATTAGAGCTGACCTCTACATTAGAGCTGACCTCTACATTAGAGCTGACCTCTACATTAGAGCTGACCTCTACATTAGAGCTGCCCTGTGTCTCCTCAGGTCCCTATGACAACAGGACGGTGTATGAGACCCTGGACATCGGGTGGCAGCTGCTCAGGATTTTCCCCAAAGAAATGTTGAAGAGGATTCCTCAGAGCACAATCGCCGAGTTCTACCCCCGCGAGTCCGGGGTGCGCCACTGAGCTCCCATCATGCACCTGTGCCCCCTCCCTGTTGCTCTAGCTCCCATCATGCACCTGTGCCCCCTTCCCCTCTGGCCCCTCCTTGTGTCTGTGGGTAAAGAAGTGAAGTTGAATCTGATGTGAGTTATTTATTGAAATGTCGTCTTCTAAATCCTCGTTTCTTCGGAAACGTCTGATTCTGTTTTGTACAAATGTTGAAAATGTTTTGTTTTTGCGGATTTAAATTTAAGTGTTGTGAAAATAACGTGTGAAAAACGCAGACGCCGCCTACCAAATGATTCTTTACATATTATTTACATAAAATACAATAGATATTATATCATGGTTTAACAAACCGGAGTGAATCCCATTGGCTCCTGTCGTCGCCGTGTTGTTACTATGTTGCAAGCGTCGCATGTGGGCGGCGGCTGCGGCGACATTCCAGAGTTCTGTGTCTGTAAAGTATAAGAAATAAATATGTGGAAATAAATCATTTGTTTGATTTATTTAAGATTCTACACAGGAATGCATCTGCTGAGCTTCGATATCGGTGTTGGCCTTTTTTTAACCACCATCGGTGAAAACGAATGATTCACCGACGGGAGGCGAGCACAAGAAGATGCCGACGGTCGTGTGGCGATATTTTAAAAAGATCAGCTTTATGCACAGACAGTTGTGATGCAGGATGCGCCCTGGTTGCCATGGTGATCTGGTCTGTGTTTCGGACCCTGTCATTTTTCTGATTACAGCCTTAGAGGTTGTGATTCTGATGCAAATGTGAAAGACCAGGACGTGTGTATATGGGTCATGAAGATCTGACACATGAAGGGAGCAGTGTCTGCTGTCGGAGCTCTGCTGAAACGCTGTGTTCCCATTCTTCTGTGACTTTAACATTTCAACAAAAACATGTTTATTTTCTGCTGAATGTCACAAACTCAATATTTAAAAATCATGAATTTCTTCAAAAACTGAAGATGATGATTCAGAAACAAAACACACTTTAAAAGACATCTGACATTTACAGACAGACACACACCACACAAACTGGAGAAAGAAGAGAAATTCAACAGCTCCCTCTGGTGGCAGGAGGGGGGATTACAGTCCTGCTTTAGACCTGGTTCAGTCCTGCTTCAGCCCCTGGTCTGGACCTGATCCTGGACCCGGTTCGGTCATGCATCAGCCCCTGGTCTGGACCTGGGACTGGTTCGGTCCTGCTTCAGCCCCTGGTCTGGGCCTGGACCTGGTCTCTGGATGAAGATCGGCGGCAGCCGTTTTTCTTTCAAACCTAAAAGAGAAGAGTTTTCTGGAACCAGTGCAGACGGCGCGACAACCCCCAAAGCAAGAGCCTCTCTACACCAACAATATTTCAGGTCAAGTCAGTGTCCAGTTAAAGAAGAAATATTCTGCATTTGTGTCCATTGAAAAATATAACTAGTCTATTTAGTGTTCAAAAACATACATGCTGCCACCAGCCTCTCTTTCTGTCTGAGTCTTTCTGTCTCTCGCACTCACACAGTCGTCCCTCCTGCTCCAGTTCTTCTTCTATTCTCATCAGTCTGTTGTATCGACTCGTCCTCTCCTCTCCACTCAGTCCTCCCAGTTTGAGGAAGTCCAAACCGAGACCCACAGCCTGAAACCAGACCAGAGAGACCAGAGACCATTGTTGAAGAGAAATGGCCTTTAACGTTTGACAATGAAGAAGTGTCTCACCAGGTCTGGGAGGGCGGAGTCACAGGACGGCTCGCTGTAGGACGGTCCCAGCAACATGGAGCCTCAGGAGGAGACCAGTAAGTTAGTCATCTATATTTAAATAGCACCTTTCACAGACCAGAGCCACAAAGCGCTTTACAGTTGTGGGCATTTGTCTCTGACTTCAAACAGAGATGGGAGTGAGGGCGCCAGTACAGGAGGCATATGCCAGATCGATTTTACATGTTTTTAGTGGAAGGGGAAACTGGAGCATACACGGGGAGAACATACAAACTCCACTCAAATGCTCCGCTCTGACCGGGATTCGAACCCAACACCTTCTTGCTGAGAAGCGAGTGTGCTAATCGCTCAGCCACCGCAACACCAGGGGAGTTTGACATCACCACCGTGTGACATCACCAGCATGTGACATCCCGGTTCTAGTTTCCTTATTTGGGCATTTGTTCTGACGGTAGCTTCCAACTGTAACAGATGTGTTGCGAAGACGGTTGCTAAGGAGTTTTGAATGAAGGCCTCTGATTGGACAGACCTTATGACTCATATCTGGGCAATAAAGACAATATCACACATCAACAGCGGGATTACAAAGAAACCACAGATTTAAGCCCAAAATTGGAAAATGGAAGTCAAAGGGAGTCAGAGAGGAGCAAACTTCACCATGAGCACTTCACTATTGGGCTTCATTTAACTAGTGTGTTAGCATGGTGTCTGTGTGTATGTTACCATGACGATGGATGCTGGCCTGGATCAGGTCTGTGATGGTCACATGATTGACATGTTTGAGGATGTGACCTGTGACCCCTGGAGGGGGCGGGGCTTGTTCTCTGAAGGTGATGTCACTCAGAAGAGAACAGGAAGCAGAGAGACGCTGCCATTGGTCCACATCCTGTACACAACAACAACATGAACACACACACACACGCACACCTCTCCTCAGTAGACACAGACACCTACACACACCTCTCTCCTCAGTATATACACACACACACAGACACACACCTATCTCCTCAGTAGACACACACACAGACACACACCTCTCTCCTCAGTAGACACACACACAGACACACACACAGACACACACCTCTCTCCTCAGTAGACACACACCTCTCTCCTCAGTAGACACACACCTCTCTCCTCAGTAGACACACACACAGACACACACCTCTCTCCTCAGTAGACACACAGACAGACACACACCTCTCTCCTCAGTAGACACACACACAGACACACACCTCTCTCCTCAGTAGACACACACACAGACACACACCTCTCTCCTCAGTAGACACACACACAGACACACACCTCTCTCCTCAGTAGACACACACACAGACACACACCTCTCTCCTCAGTGGGTCGATCAGTAAAACCACAGATGGAAACTTGAGAAGCAGAGACTGCAGCAGATCCACCGTCTCATCAGGAGACTTCAGCACCGCACACATCACCTCGTATTTACCTTTGGACTGAGGGCAGGGGTCAGAGGTCACACACAGCAGGGCAGAGGGCACAGGGGTCAGAGGTCACACACAGGGCACAGGGGTCAGAGGTCACACACAACAGGGCAGAAGGCACAGGGGTCAGAGGTCACACAAAATAGGGCACAGGAGTCAGAGGTCACACACAACAGGGCACAGGGGTCAGAGGTCACACACAACAGGGCACAGGGGTCAGAGGTCACACACAACAGGGCAGAAGGCACAGGGGTCAGAGGTCACACAAAATAGGGCACAGGAGTCAGAGGTCACACACAACAGGGCAGAGGGAACCGGGGTCAGAGGTCACACACAACAGGGCACAGGGGTCAGAAGTCAGTCCAGTGGGGCGAGTCTCGGCCTCAAACGGGTCCATGAGACTGACATGCTGTGGTCTGACTGTGGTGGTGTACCCGGAAACAGAATGATCAGTGAACTATTACAGCGCCTTGTTTCTGGAAAAGGTCTCTACAGAATGGCCCAAAAGTCGCTCTTGGCTCAACGCTACGTTCCAGATGCTGTCGATGCTGAGGGGAGGACTTTTCTTTGGACCAGTCTAGTTTAGCCGCTGTGGACTTTTGAATGCAGTCCTTAAATGAATGGGGCTCATGCAGCTAACGCATGACCAAATGCATTTTAAAAAAGACAGCAGGCGTGAAAAGTGATGACACTTAAGTTTCGACGGCGTTAATATTTACAATCTATGGGGCAGACACATAAGAGGTCAGCCCCCCTCAGACTCACATGGTCTCTGAGACTCACCTGGTCCTCCTCGGACTCACCTGGTCATACAGATGAGGACCAGCACAGCTCAGTCCCAGTCTGAGCTCTGGTCCCAGCTGCAGTTGAGCGCAGGCCTCTGTCAGCAGCTCCAGAGGCTGCTCCAGTCTGTCAGCCGGCAGGTGGGGGGCGCCACTGTCACTGAGGGACACTGCCCCAGCCTGAAGGGGAGAAAGGGAGGAAGGGAGGGAGAGGACCATCAGGGTAGAGAGAGAGAGAGCTATCATCAGTCCGCCAGTCGGCAGGTAGAGGGCGCTACTGTCACAGAGAGAGAGATCCTGATGATGTCATCAGGAGCAAGAGGACTTTTATAGAGCTCTAGAACATGGACAGGACATTTTGGCTCAGATGAACCGATGGTGGAGCAGAACTCACTGCTGTCACGTGGCACACTGCATCTGTCACATGGTACACTGCATCTGTCACCTGGTACACTGCATCTGTCACCTGGTACACTGCAGTCACATGGTACGCTGCATCTGTCACCTGGTACACTGACCGTAGCTTTAGTCTGAGCTGCGTGGATCCTGAAGACCTCCTGCTGCAGCTGCTGAGCCACGAGCACCACCTGCAACAGAGGATTAGAGCTGACTCTCACATTAGAGCTGACTCTCACATTAGAGCTGACTCACATTAGAGCTGACTCTCACATTAGAGCTGACTCACATTAGAGCTGACTCTCACATTAGAGCTGACTCACATTAGAGCTGACTCTCATTAGAGCTGACTCTCACATTAGAGCTGACTCACATTAGAGCTGACTCTCACATTAGAGCTGACTCTCATTAGAGCTGAGTCACATTAGAGCTGACTCTCACATTAGTGCTGACTCACATTAGAGCTGACTCTCACATTAGAGCTGACTCACATTAGCGTTGACTCTCATTAGAGCTGACTCACATTAGAGCTGACTCACATTAGAGCTGACTCACATTAGAGCTGACTTACATTAGAGCTGACTCTCACATTAGAGCTGACTCAGATTAGAGCTGACTCACATTAGAGCTGACTCTCACATTAAAGCAGACTCACATTAGAGCTGACTCACTTTAGAGCTGACTCTCATTAGAGCTGACTCACATTAGAGCTGACTCACATTAGAGCTGACTCTCATTAGAGCTGACTCACATTAGAGCTGACTCTCACATTAGAGCTGACTCTCACATTAGAGCTGACTCACATTAGAGCTGACTCACATTAGAGCTGACTCTCACGTTAGAGCTGACTCTCACATTAGAGCTGACTCTCACATTAGAGCTGACTCTCACATTAGAGCTGACTCACATCTTGATCACACAGACTAAACCATAGGTTTTTAAGGCTCTATATCAGGACCGAGAGCTGTTTCTGGTGTCAGTCCTGGTCTTAGTCCTGGTCTCAGTACTGGTCTCAGTCCTGGTCTCAATTGTACTCTCAGTTCTGGTCCTGGTCTCACCTGTCTGGTTCTCAGTCCTGGTTTTGGGATCAAAAGGACCTCTTCAAACAGGTGAAGTTTTCCTGGAGATGATCTTCCACAGCTGAACAAAGGAACCAGAAGAGTGGGGGAGTGGAGGCCCTCAGGAGGGGGAGACGAGGGGGAGACGAGGCCCTCAGGAGGACGAGACGAGGGGGAGACGAGGCCCTCAGGAGGAGGAGACAAGGGGGAGACAAGGCCCTCAGGAGGGCGCTGCCAGAGCACACAAGGACGACAGTCAGCTTGTTAAAAGGCTGCGTTCTTCTGTATTTCAGCAGGTTCCAATACAACTCTAATAATTGTAATAATCCCTGGTCTCCCTCTGGTCTCCCTCTGGTCTCCCCCTGGTCTCCCTCTGGTCTCCCTCTGGTCTCCCCCTGGTCTCCCTCTGGTCTCCCCCTGGTCTCCCCCTGGTCTCCCTCTGGTCTCCCTCTGGTCTCCCTCACCTCCCTTCGGTCTCTCTGTGGTCTCTCTCTGGTCCCTCTGGTTTAACTTTTTTGTCTTTTTCTGATCTCCCTCTGGTCTCCCTCTGGTCTCCCTCTGGTCTCCCCCTTGTCTCCCTCTGGTCTCCCTCTCGTCTCCCTCACCTCCCTTCGGTCTCCCTCTGGTCTCCCTCTGGTCTCCCTCTGGTCTCCCTCTGGTCCCTCACTGGTCCAGACCTGGCTCCTGGTCTTCAGTTCTGTGATGTACTTGTACAGGGGCAGTCCTCGGCTCTGGGCTCCGGCTCGGGCCACACTCAGGGACAGGGCCCCCACAGCGAGGCCTCCGCTCAAAAGCAGCTCAGGGGGCTCTGGGGGGGGCTGGATCTTCACTGCTGCGCGCTTCTTACCTGTCAATCAACATCAAAAACAAGATCAGATTATTTTACCTGTCAATCATCCCTTATCACACAAGGCATTAAATAATCACAGTGCATAAAAAAGAGTAAACATACATTTTTTCTGTTGTTGCAACCTGTATTTGAACATTATCAGAAAAGAAGTTTGTCTCACATTTTCAGATTTTAGCTGCATAAATCTGAAACGCTGCCTCCTCGGAGTCCCAGCAGGAGGCCAGTCCCTGTGCTCCTCAGAGTCCCAGCAGGAGGTCAGTCCCTGTGCTCCTCAGAGTCCCAGCAGGAGGTCAGTCCCTGTGCTCCTCAGAGTCCCAGCAGGAGGTCAGTCCCTGTGCTCCTCAGAGTCCCAGCAGGAGGCCAGTCCCTGTGCTCCTCAGAGTCCCAGAAGGAGGCCAGTCCCTGTGCTCCTCAGAGTCCCAGCAGGAGGCCTGTCCCTGTCCTCCTCAGAGGTGGCTCATATGGCACTAACATGTCACAGATGTACTTTGGTGCGAGGCCATGGAGAGACTTGTAACAAGCAGAGACCTGAGACCAGGACTAAGAGGAGAGGACTTCAGGCCAGAGACCTGAGACCAGGACTAATGTGAGAGGACTTCAGGACAGAGACTTGAGACCAGGACTAATGTGAGAGGACTTCAGGGCAGAGACCTGAGACCAGGACTAATGTAAGAGGACTTCAGGACAGAGACCTGAGACCAGGACTAATGTGAGAGGACTTCAGGACAGAGACCTGAGACCAGGACTAATGTAAGAGGACTTCAGGACAGAGACTTGAGACCAGGACTAATGTGAAAGGACTTCAGGACAGAGACCTGAGACCAGGACTTTTGTGAGAGGACTTCAGGACAGAGACCTGAGACCAGGACTAATGTGAGAGGACTTCAGGACAGAGACCTGAGACCAGGACTAATGTGAGAGGACTTCAGGACAGAGACCTGAGACCAGGACTAATGTGAGAGGACTTCAGGACAGAGACCTGAGACCAGGACTAATGTGAGAGGACTTCAGGACAGAGACCTGAGACCAGGACTAATGTGAGAGGACTTCAGGACAGAGACCAGTGAGCAGCTGCTACAGTCGTTGAACACTGGAGACAAATGCAAAGATTATCCTTTCAGTTTTGAGAAAGTTGTTTTGCCTCCACTCACTGATCTGCAGTGAAGGCGTGAGTCCTCCTCTCTCCCCTCTCCTCTCTCCCCATCTCCCACCTCTCCCCTTGGTCCCTCTCCGCCCCCTCTCCCCCACCCCAGACTTAGCGTAGTCTTAATCGGATCAGCCTCACCTCCAGTCCCCCATAATGACGTCTCAGTGGTCCCACTATTAAAGTGTAAAGTGCAGTATAGAGATTATAGAGGATTAAGCACTTTGTGACGGTGATTATGGCCATTACAGCTGACACCACAGCAGCACTCTATTCCACACCTCACACTTCACTTTACTCACTGTTTCTGTTTGTGTGAAAACATTTCTTGTCAAATAAAGGTTTCTCTGGTCTCTCGCTCTGGTCTCGCTCTGGTCTCTCGCGCTGGTCTCTCTCTGATCTCTTTCTGGTCTCTCTCTGGTCTCTCTGCAGACCTCTCTTGCCCACAGTGTGCGTGTATGTGTTTGTGTATTTGTGTGTGTGTGTGTGTGTACGTGTGTATAAATTGTCCACTCACCATTGGCCCTCCGCGGGCGGTTATCCCTCTCTAAGCTCGGGTCCTCTACCAGAGGCCTGGGAGCTTGAGGGTTCTGCGCAGTATCTTTGCTGTTCCTAGCACTGCACATTTCTGGACCCAGATGTCCGAGGTTGTTCCAGGGATCCGCTGTAACCTCTTCTAGCTTCGGGGTCACTGCCCCGAGTGCACCGATCACCACGGGCACTACTGTGACCTTTACCCTCCAGGCCCTCTCCAGCTCCTCTCTGAGACCTTGGTATTTCTTAAGCTTTTCATGTTCCTTTTTTCGGATGTTACACCATCGCTTGGAATTGCCACGTCCACCACCACGATGTCCTCTGCCCTTTGTCCACCACCACGGCTGTCCTCTGCCCTTTGTCCACCACCACGGCTGTCTTCTGCCCTTTGTCCACCACCACGGCTGTCCTCTGCCCTTTGTCCACCACCACGGCTGTCCTCTGCCCTTTGTCCACCACCACGGCTGTCCTCTGCCCTTTGTCTACCACCACGATGTCAGGTTGGTTCATTACCATTCGGTCGGTCTGTATCTGGAAGTCCCACAGGATCTTTGCACGCTCATTCTCCACCACCTTTGGAGGAGTTTCCGACTTAGACCATGGAGTTTCCAGCCCATACTCTGCACAGATGTTTCTGTACACTATGCCAGCCACTTGGTTATGGCGTTCCATGTAGGCCTTCCCTGCAGCATCTTGCACCCTGCAGTTATGTGTTGGATCGTCTTAGGTGCCTCTTTGCACAACCGACACCTTGTCGGTTGTGGCTGATCTTGAGATCAGCCACTTCTGTTATGCTCCGGTGGTACATGCCGTGTAGGGGCTTGTTCTCCCATGATGGGCTCTCCTCCAGCACCTCCTCATCTCGCCACTGCCTGAGACATTCACTGAGTACGTCATCCGTTTTGGCCTTCTCCATGATGTAGTTATGGAGTTTGGATGTTTCGTCCTGGACAGTGGCTCTCACACTCACTAGTCCTCGACCTCCTTCTTTACGGCTTACGTACAGTCTCAGGGTGCTGGATTTGGGATGGAACCCGCCATGCATGGTAAGGAGCTTTCGAGTTTTAACATCCGTGGTCTGAATCTCTTCCTTTGGCCACCTGATTATTCCTGCAGGGTATCTGATCACTGGCAGGGCGTAGCTGTTAATTGCCCGGGCCTTGTTCTTGCCATTGAGCCGGCTTCTTAGGACCTGCCTTATTCGCTGGAGGTATTTGGCAGTTGCCGCTTTCCTCGTCACCTGTTCGAGGTTGCCATTTGCCTGTGGTATACCGAGATACTTGTAACTGTCCTCAACGTCTGCTATTGTTACCTCTGGGAGTGAGATCCCTTCTGTGTGGACTACCTTGCCTCTCCGAGTCACCATCCTGCTACATTTCTCGAGTCCGAATGACACCCCGATGTCATGGCTGTAGATCCTGGTTGTTTGGATCAGAGAGTCGATGTCTCTCTCGCTCTTGGCGTACAGCTTGATGTCATCCATGTAGAGGAGGTGACTGATCTTTGCTCCGTTCCTGAGGCGCAATTACTTGGCTTAGAGCAGGGGTGCTCACACTTTTTCAGCATGCGAGCTACTTATAAAAGGATCAAGTCAAAATGATCTACCTACTACAAAAATGCAAATCATATATTTATTTCAAAAAATATTCTTTATACCTACAATGTATGTTTATGTACATGCAAAACCGCATGAGCCAATATAGCACAACACAACACAATTACCTATGTACATTTGTTGTCATTACCCGAGTTTACTCTGATGACTTGCACTGAATTGAATCGGCCAGGGATGCATAGTCCGGAAAATTGGTGGTAACTCGCTGACAAGTTTGTTGTGGTTTAGCTTTCCTGCACTGAGCGCGGTTGTTTGCGCATGTGCAGTAGTGTCAGTAAAACATTACTGAGTAAAACACAGATGTCATTTGACTGTGGTGCCATGTCCATGTGCCATGCCTGGTTTTTTTAAATCCAAATATTTCCCCTCCTCAGTTTATAAAATAATTTGCATCCACACATCTGCGTTATCAATCACATTCGTAACATTCCAAACATGTGCGTCTCTTACGTCCTGTCCTGCGTTGGGGAAAAACACAGAAGTGGGCGGAGCTTTGATGCAGACGCCGGTAACGGCACTTTTACAGTCATAAAAGACACTCAGAGTAAAGATGTATGTTTACAAGCACTGACCCCGTCCTCAGCCCTGGTTTAGTCCTGGTTTAGTCCTGTTTTGGTCCTGGTTTAGTCCTGGTTTAGTCCTGGTTTAGTCCTGGTTTAGTCCTGGTTTAGCCCTGGTTTAGTCCTGGTTTAGTCCTGGTTTAGTCCTGGTTTAGTCCTGGTTTAGTCCTGGTTTAGTCCTGGTTTAGTCCTGGTTTAGTCCTGGTTTAGTCCTGGTTTAGTCCTGGTTTAGTCCTGGTTTGGTTGTTTTCGAGCGTGAGTCCGATCACTTTGCTGCTCTCTGATGTGGAGGATGTTCGCTGCTGCGAGCATCTCACAGCGAACAGTTTTTAAGGTAGTATGATCCATGCTTCAGTGATCAGAGGAATTTAGGGGGGTACTGTGGCGTGCGAGAACGCAAAACTCTGGTTATCTCTGTCTACACACAAATGCATTAACGGAGTTTTCAAAAATCTCCACTTTGCCCGGAGTTTTTTGTATATATTAGTTTAGAATGTGTAATTTTTTCATTTATTTAATGCGATCTACCAATACTACCTTTGCGATCGACTGGTAGATCGCGATCGACGTATTGAGCACCCCTGGCTTAGAGGGTTGAGGCCTATGCAGAACAGTAGTGGGCACAGAGCATCTCCTTGGTAGATACCACATTTGATGGTCACTTGTGCGAGCGGCCATTTGCCTCAAGGGTGGTCTTCCACATTCCCATCGAGTTTGCAATGAAGTCCCTTAGAGCCCTGTTGATATACCACTTCAAGCATTCCATGATCCATGTGTGTGGCATTGAGTCGTAGGCTTTCTGGTAATCAATCCAGGCTGTGCACAGGTTGGTGTGTCGTGACCGGCAGTCTTGGGGCGAAAGGTAAGTGTTTTTTTATATATATATATATATATATTACATATATATAATGTATGTATGTGTATGTATGTAATACCTCTGATGACCACAGGAGGAGTCTCTGTTGGGGTCCTGCTGCTGTGGTCTGTGAGCTCCTGCAGACGACTCCAGTACAGATCACTAACACAAACAGGTTTGATAGAACTTTATTAACACCAGACAACAGATTGACACACACACACACACACACACACACACACACACATTAAAAGAAACACACACTCACATATACACTCACACCAACACACACATATACAGTGGGGCAAAAAAGTATTTAGTCAGCCACCAATTGTGCAAGTTCTCCCACTTAAAATAATGACAGAGGTCTGTAATTTTCATCATAGGTTCACTTCAACTGTGAGAAACAGAATGTGAAAAAAAAAAATCCAGGAATTCTCATTGTAGGGTTTTTAAAGAATTTATTTGTAAATCATGGTGGAAAATAAGTATTTGGTCAATAACAAAAATGCAACTCAATACTTTGTAATATAACCTTTGTTGGCAATAACAGAGGTCAAACGATTACTATAGGTCTTTACCAGGTTTGCGCACACAGTAGCTGGTATTTTGGCCCATTCCTCCATGCAGATCTTCTCGAGAGCATTGATGTTTTGGGGCTGTCGCCGAGCAACACGGATTTTCAACTCCCTCCACAGATTTTCAATGGGGTTGAGGTCTGGAGACTGGCTAGGCCACTCCAGGACTTTCAAATGCTTCTTACGGAGCCACTCCTTCGTTGTCCGGGCGGTGTGTTTGGGATCATTGTCATGCTGGAAGACCCAGCCACGTTTCATCTTCAAAGCTCTCACTGATGGAAGGAGGTTTTGGCTCAAAATCTCACGATACATGGCCCCATTCATTCTTTCCTTAACACGGATCAGACGTCCTGTCCCCTTAGCAGAAAAACAGCTCCAAAGCATGACGTTTCCACCCCCATGCTTCACAGTAGGTATGGTGTTCTTGGGATGCAACTCTTTCTCCAAACACGACGAGTTGAGTTTATACCAAACAGTTGTACTTTGGTTTCATCTGCCCACATGACATTCTCCCAATCCTCTGCTGTATCATCCATGTGCTCTCTGGCAAACTTCAGACGGGCCTGGACATGCACTGGCTTCAGCAGGGGGACACGTCTGGCACTGCAGGATTTGATTCCCTGTCGTCGTAGTGTGTTACTGATGGTAACCTTTGTTACTTTGGTCCCAGCTCTCTGCAGGTCATTCACCAGGTCCCCCCGTGTGGTTCTGGGACTTTTGATTACCGTTCTAATGATCAGTTTGACCCCACAGGATGAGATCTTGCGTGGAGCCTCAGATCGAGGGAGATTATCAGTGGTCTTGTATGTCTTCCATTTTCTGATAATTGCTCCCACAGTTGATTTGTTCACACCAAGCTGCTTGCCTATTGTAGATTCACTCTTCCCAGTCTGGTGCAGGTGTACAATTCTTTTCCTGGTGTCCTTCGACAGCTCTTTGGTCTTGGCCATAGTGGAGTTTGGAGTCTGACTGTTTGAGGCTGTGGACAGGTGTCTTTTATACAGATGAGGTCAAACAGGTGCCATTAACACAGGTAACGAGTGGAGGACAGAAGAGCTTCTTAAAGAAGAAGTTACAGGTCTGTGAGAGTCAGAGATCTTCCTTGTTTGAAGTGACCAAATACTTATTTTCCACCATCATTTACAGATAAATTCTTTAAAAATCCTACAATGTGAATTCCTGGATTTTTTTTTCACATTCTGTCTCTCACAGTTGAAGTGAACCTCCATCCATCCATCCATTTTCTACCCCTTAAAGCTGCACTAACTGACTTTATTTTTGTATTCATTACGAAAATGCTATCCATGTCCATGTAGTGTATTGGGATATACGTCCTTTTGAAGAAAAAGTAGCGCAGATTTGTGCTGGCGTAACATAATATTTTAGATTGAGTTTTGATGAAACAAGGAAGAGAATGTGTTTCGGGTCGCAGATTGTGACCAATCACAGCGGACCACTGGCCCCCACTTTCGTGAGAAATCTACAGGTCCGTTAGCATAGACGGCTGAGTTAGCACAACAAGTGGCGGAGCTAACCTGAAGCTTCGTGTGTCTTCGTCACCGGTTACTGCTTACACAGCGAGACAGCCATCCAAAAGAAAGTCTTGTTCCTCCGCGCTTCCCGGTTCTATCGTTCTATGGTCACGGCATCCACGTGAAAATCCATATCCATGTATTATCCATATTGGCAGACGCTAGCTTCGTCAACAACAGTGGGTGTGTGTGGGGGGCGATAGCTTCGTGGGTGCGGGGAGGGGAGCAGAAAGAGAGAGGCCAGCGAGTCCGCGGCTTCAAAATCCCAAAGTCAGTTAGTGCAGCTTTAATCCATTTCTGGGTCGGGGGGTGGCAGTCAGAGATGCCACCCAAGTATCATAGCACCAGCCCCTCACTGATCCTCTGCAGGTGGTGAGTCCACAGGAGGACAGCTGCTCTGTCAGTGTGAGCATAGCCGTGATCTCTCAGCGGGGGCTTTTGGGCAAAGTCGGGTTAAGTGTCTTGCCCAAGGACACAACGATAGCAGACATCAGTGGGAGTTGGTGTCAATGTGGGAATTGAACCCACAACCTTCAGGCCTAAAGGCCAATGCTCTACCAAATGAGCTACTGTCGCCCTTGAAGTGAACCTATGATGAAAATTACAGACCTCTGTCATTATTTTAAATGGGAGAACTTGCACTATCGGTGGCTGACTAAATACTTTTTTGCCCCACTGTATAAAGACACAGGAGAGGACTCACAGAAATCAGGACTAGGACTAGGACTCATCAAGTTCCCTACCTCAGTATCTGGTCCACTTTGCTCTGCTCCTCTGGACTGAGGCCGTGGAGTTGCTGGTTCACTTCCTGGATCCACTGGAGTGCTTTTCTCACCTGCTCCTGTCGCTCCTCACTAGAGGCTGAGGATCCAAAGTGAGATGAGACCGAGCCAGAGGAGAAGAACTGTGGACCAGTGAGGGGAGACCAGTGAGACCAGACAGAGGGACCAGAGAGACGCAAAAGAGAGAGACGCAAAAGAGAGAGACCATAGAGAGACCAGAGAGGGACCAGAGAGAGACCAGGACTGTGACCAAAGATCCGTGAGACCAGGACTGAGACCTGAAACCTGAGGGGCCAGCAAGAGACCAGATACCAGAGAAAATAGGTCTGAGAGACCAGAGAGAGACCAGAAAGATCAGAAACCATGGTGAAATACCAGGGACCAGAGGAGAGAGGAATAGACCTGCTGTGGACCTGATTCTTGTACCTTCTCCTGGTTCCTGAGAGTGCAGTAGACTTGAGCCTGGATTGAAGGACCTCCTCTGGAGTCCAGGACCTCCACCCCCTCCACTCTGCTGATGAGAGGAGTCGCTGACAGAGGGATGAAGAACTCAGCCTGAGGAAACAATAAGGTTGTTTTTGTACCATCAGGAACCACATCCAAATCGTCCAAGGGATAAGACAAGAAAAGAATAGATAATAGAATATCAGATCTGAAGAAAGAGACTCCTCTATGTCAATTTATGTTTTAATGACAGAGATGAGGAAGCCCTGCAATAAACAAACATAGTAGCATAAGCTAACACTATCGCTTATAAATACATGTACAAAATGCAGTGGCTTGAAACAAATGTAAATATAGAAAACATAACTTACATAAAAACAAGAACAGCACGCTAGGGTTAGCATCAGGAGGGTAAAACTTTCAATCCTGCGGACCCTCGACTCACTCGCTGATCTCAACCAAACCGCTAGCGGCCTCTAGTGGTAAACTCTTCATCCCCCCCAGTCCGTAAAGCTATTAAAATATAATAGATAAACTGACTCAATCTTGTATCCAACGGCCCGACTCAGGCTCATAACGCTTGGGAGGCCTACGGGGGCGGCCCGGAGGCGAGGGCGGCAACACGTGGGACGGCGACATGGGGGGCAACATAGCGGGGGCAACAACCGCAGGATCGGGGCCATCATCCACTGGCGAAGCATCCGGAACAGAGACACACAAGGTCCAGCCACCTCTGGAGCGACCGCCTGTGAGACCGCAGGGTCTGGGAGGATCGGGCGGGGCCGCTGATCCAAAACCACGGGTGGCGGCGAGCACACAGCAGTCTCCAACCGGGAACAAGGGGTAACCGGGGTGAAGGCGCGAAGGAACCGTCGGTTGCGCAGAGTCAGGCGACCAGACCCATCGACCTTGACGCGATACTGATCGCACCCCAACGACTCCACAACAACACCAGACTTGTCCCACTTGTTGGGGCTCGAACCCTGCTGATTCTGGAGGAAAACTGTCTCACCAAGCGCTAGTGGGCGTAGCGGCCTCGAGTGGGCCCGGAGGGACTCAGTAGTTCGGGACATCCTAGCACGGAGGGCATCCTCCCTCGCCACCCACGCCTGGCGCCAGAGTGGCCGGATATTTGGGTTAGAGTACTTCTCCAGTCTGTTCACGAACAAGAGCGAATCTCGAAGGGGGCGGCCGAAGATGATCTGAGCCGGTGAGATATCGCAGTCCGGGTCCGGAGTGTTGCGCAGCTGCAACATGGCACGTAGAAAGCGGTCGTGGTCAAGGCTGCCAGTCGGGCCAGTGTTAGAAGCCAGGAGGCGCTTGGCCGTCTTCACCGCCACCTCCGCTCTCCCATTGGACTGGGGGAATGCGACGGAGGACACACGATGCCTCACATGCCACAAGCGGAGGAAGTTCTCGGTGTGGCTCGCCATAAACTCCGGGCCACCATCGCTCGAGAGTTCCTCTGGCACACCAAAGGTTGCAAAAAATTTGCGGAGGTGGCGGACCAGGCCCCTTGAGCCCCCCAGATCGGACCCTGCTGTGGAGCTCAGGACCTCCACCCAGCCTGAGAGACGGTCCCCAACCACCAGGTAGTGTCGGCCACCATAATCAAAAAAATCAGCGAAAACCGCCTCAAAAGGTGTGGACGGAGGAGGGGACCACAGGGGTGGTGTGGCAGCTTGCGAAGGGGCATTCCGATTGCAGTCCGCACACCCATTCCTGGTGGCCCGAATATCCTTCGTCATGCCCGGCCAATATACTATGGCGCGTGCACGCCGCTCCATCGCTGAAGTACCTTGGTGGGCGGCATGGAGGTGTCGAAGCACATTATCGCGAAGGGATGGGGGGACCACGACGCGATCATAATACAACAGAACACCATCTTGTGCGTAAAAGGACTCACATGCCGGTGACAGACTTTTCAGCACCGGGTCATTCTTATCAATCATGCCTCCATGTTCAATGAGGCGCAGGAGGTGGGCAAAGCATGCGTCAGCAGCAGTCTCTTCCGCGAGGAGGGGCCACGAGACGGCGCCAAGCACCTTAGCATCTTCACGAATAGAGGCCATCAAAGCAGACTCCGCATCATCTTCAAACCCCCGACTCCCCAAACAGAGGCCGTTAGTTGAGCCCGAAGGGGAAGGATGCCTCGACGCTGCATCGGCGGCATGATTACTCTTGCCAGGAAGGTGCACAATCTCAAAGCGCCACGGGAGGGTGCGCTGCTTTAGTCTAAACAGGCGAGAATTTGTTATCTCGTCAAGTGTACGGTCGCCAAAGATCTTCACCAGAGGTTTGTGGTCCGTGACCACAACCAGATTGTCACTACCCTGCGTAAAGTATCGCGTCTGCTCAAGGCCCCAAGCCACGGCCAGGGCCTCCCCCTCAACAGCCGCGTAACGTTGCTCCGCCGAGGACAGGAAACGCGAACCCGCGAGGGTAATCCTCCAGCCTCCAAGGCAGCAGTCCGGAACCCCAGAAGGGCAGCTGCAATGTTGTTGGAGCAGGAAGTAACCAACACCACGCCTGGACCAATCGGGGCGAAGGCACGTGCGTCGCTGCGTGTCATAGATTTCCACGCCTCTCCGGATAGCCTCAATTATGGCACGCTTGGACTTCTGGAAGGCCTCCTCAAGATCAGCAGACCACGAGAATCTGCAGCGGGGACTGAGGAATGGCTTAAATGGTGCCATGGTGTCACGCAATTGGGCATAGTTGGCCACCTGGTTGACAAGGCCGAACCAGCTTCTGATGTCTGTAGTGGACACCGGGGAGGGGAAGTCACGGATAGCGTCCAAGTACTTAGGTAGCGGCTCAATGGTATCATCCGAGACTCTGAAACCAGCAAAATCGACACACCTCTGCGCAAACTGGAACTTGTCAGGGTTCAATACAATGCCACACTCACCAACGTGTGTGAGAAAGTCAATGGTTCTCCACCAGTGCTGTTCCAGGTCAGAGTCATAGTGAATAGTGTCGTCAACACAGCGCTCCTTACGCTCATAGTCTGACAGGACAGCATCAAAGCGACGGTTGTAGCCATCACCTGAGGACAGAAAGCCTTGAGGTGCTCTGGTGTACCGCCAGCGGCCAAAAGGAGTGATAAAGGTGGTCAGATGACGATCGGACACACGAAGGGGAACACTATGGTATCCATTCCAGGCATCAGTGACAATTTTCCATGTGTCCTTGGGGATTCGGCGCGCCAGATTGAACGGGGACTCAGTAGCAAATGTCTCACGCTGGCAGAACTTGTTAAGAGGCGAGAGGTCCACCGTCCTGCGGGGAGAGCCATCATGCTTACGGGTGACTACCATACGATGGCACCACGTCACAGGCTCACCGTAAGGCACACGTTCAATGACACCGAGGGCCTCGTCCCGCAAGAGGTCATCCTGGACTCTCTGCTGCCAGTGTAAAGGCACTGTGGCTGCTGTGTGGCACGCTTTCGGCGTCGCTGCAGGGTCCACGTGTATCTCGACGGGAGGCCCCTTCATACATGGCAATGACTGATGGGGACAGGTGTTAAATGTGGATGACGCGAATCTCTCAATTAGCCAGTCCTTCATTCGCTGATTATTCTCTGGCATACAGGGGAAGGGCAGTATAGGGGGGCGCGACGGGGGCGCAGTACGCTGGGGGCACGAGCACTGTGCATCCAGGGTTATTTTTGTGTCCCCGCGACCGTCTGGGCCACACTCCACGGCATCGACAGAGATGGGTTCTTTGACAGAGCCCGACGGAAAGCCCAAGGGCAATAGGCTGAGGTTAAGTAGTGACTCATAGGACAGGTACATTGCATGAACCGAGCTGCTCACGTACACCATCGACCGACAAGACTTCACCACTCCGCTTCTGGGTGACGTAGAGAGCCTTGCAAAGAACGCACCCTCCACAGTTATGGGAGAGCGATTGGCAGCCGATAGGCTCAGATTGACGGGACGTAGGTCATCACATGAGAAGCCACAGGCCAGAAACTCATGCATAGACCACAGGTCAGACTGGGCACCAGTGTCTGCAATGGCTGAAATCGTCGCTGGACCATCCGAGCCATTGTCCACAACGCCATTCCTCGTGTCCCCCACTCTGTCGATCGAGATGGTGATGCGCACCCTGGGGTGGTCCCTCATCTTAGCACGTCTCCACCCGCCCTTAGTGAAAATATGGTGCTCAAGTTTTATGGCCTGGGGCTCATTGATCACCGCAGGAGGACGACGCCGGTGGCGGCACCTGAGGCGTTGGACAGGGCGGGCCCCTGATTGCACCGAAGAGATCTGGGATATCGGCCCTGATTGAATTGCAGCTTGTTGACTACCAGCAGATGGTTCCTGGCGGCGCTTGCGACGGTGGGCCCTGTAACAATCAGCGCACACTCGGTGAGGTTTAGTGTTCCACCCACGAGACCCCTCGGTGAAGACATTAAAAGTGATTTTACAGTCCGGGCACAATGCCTGTTTAGCTCTGTCAGGCTGGGCTAGAGACGGAGCAGCGCTCGCCTGAGTGACCTTCCTTGAGCGCTGTAAAGATGACATAGCGGACAGAGTGGACGACGGTAGAGCGTTACGGGCCATCTCTTTGTTCTCAACCAACGCGATTACATCGTTAACAGGCTTACACAGGACATCAGGTATACCCAGTGTCTCACGGCGTATATCAGAGTCAAAAATCCCGTTAATCAGAACGTCGCGGATTATGTGGTCAGTATAATCCACATTCAACCCACACACACACGCTGCAGCGTACGCACATGTCTCGGCTTTACCCCGCACTCTCGCTGTGAATGCCCGGAATGTCTCATCGCGCTCCTGGTGTAACTGAAGCAGCTCGGTGCGCAGAACACATGTGGCCACAGGGATGACTGCGAGCGATTGCATGGCGGCGATGAGGTCAGGCGTAGAACCAGAAGCAGCATTGGGATTAGCTTTCAACAGGCTGTCACCCAGTTCAGGCCCAGCACACTGGAATAACTGGAAAGGGGCCTGGGCGTCACTTATGCCCGAACCAGCACGGAAAACCTCCCAGCGGCGTGTGAACACATTCCATTCCTCTATTGATACGCCGATGTCCACACTAGGACGATCAAGCTTCGGGCCATGACCGACCGGGGCTTGGGCTACGACAGGCGGGACCTGATGGGCCAGTCCATGGTTCGTCAAAAGAGCAATGGCAAGGGCTTCAGAAACGTCTTGGGTCTGGAAGGCACAGCCAGGAACTGAGCACTCAATGATAACCATGGCTTCCTCATGAAGAAAGAGACTCCTCTATGTCAATTTATGTTTTAATGACAGAGATGAGGAAGCCCTGCAATAAACAAACATAGTAGCATAAGCTAACACTATCGCTTATAAATACATGTACAAAATGCAGTGGCTTGAAACAAATGTAAATATAGAAAACATAACTTACATAAAAACAAGAACAGCACGCTAGGGTTAGCATCAGGAGGGTAAAACTTTCAATCCTGCGGACCCTCGACTCACTCGCTGATCTCAACCAAACCGCTAGCGGCCTCTAGTGGTAAACTCTTCAAGATCATATTAGAGAAAAGAACCTATAAGCTATATGTCCCAGAATAAAAGAAGAAAAAAGAGTGCACAGAAACAAGGATCTGTTATTTAAGATCACGGATACTTAACAGATTATACAGATAATAAATTGATAATAAATTGATTATAAATAGATAATACATAGATAGAGATAATCACCTCTAGGTGACCCCTTTTTTGGACGGGATTAGTTTTACATGGGGACCCCTGGTAATTTGTGATAATCACGACGTCTGTGATTTAGTGCCGTGCCAATGCGCCATGCCTGTAATTTGTAATATAATAATTCCACCGCAAATTACCTCCTGTATTTGTCCAAACACAGACGTCCTCTGATAAAACTAATCCCGTTCGAATCTGCATGTCAGTGATTGTGACCGTGATTGCTGCTTATTTGGGGAGTTCACGTTTAGTCCGTACAGAAAGTATTGTTTAAACATTAGAGAAAGTGCAGGCCAGAGAACTGTACAGCAGTAAAATCCACATGGTCTCTGTGGCTGCTGTGGTCAGAGTCTCTGTGGCTGCTGTGGTCAGAGTCTCTGTGGCTGCTGTGGTCAGAGTCTCTGTGGGCTGCTGTGGTCAGAGTCTCTACGGGGTGCTGTGGTCAGAGTCTCTGTGGCTGCTGTGGTCAGAGTCTCTACGGGCTGCTGTGGTCAGAGTCTCTGTGGCTGCTGTGGTCAGAGTCTCTACGGGCTGCTGTGGTCAGAGTCTCTACGGGCTGCTGTGGTCAGAGTCTCTGTGGCTGCTGTGGTCAGAGTCTCTACGGGCTGCTGTGGTCAGAGTCTCTGTGGCTGCTGTGGTCAGAGTCTCTACGGGCTGCTGTGGTCAGAGTCTCTACGGGCTGCTGTGGTCAGAGTCTCTGTGGCTGCTGTGGTCAGAGTCTCTACGGGCTGCTGTGGTCAGAGTCTCTGTGGCTGCTGTGGTCAGAGTCTCTACGGGCTGCTGTGGTCAGAGTCTCTGTGGCTGCTGTGGTCAGAGTCTCTACGGGCTGCTGTGGTCAGAGTCTCTACGGGCTGCTGTGGTCAGAGTCTCTGTGGCTGCTGTGGTCAGAGTCTCTACGGCTGCTGTGGTCAGAGTCTCTACGGGCTGCTGTGGTCAGAGTCTCTGTGGCTGCTGTGGTCAGAGTCTCTACGGGCTGCTGTGGTCAGTCTCTACGGGCTGCTGTGGTCAGTCTCTACGGGCTGCTGTGGTCAGTCTCTACGGGCTGCTGTGGTCAGAGTGTCTGTGGCTGCTGTGGTCAGAGTCTCTGTGGCTGCTGTGGTCAGAGTCTCTGTGGCTGCTGTGGTCAGAGTCTCTGTGGCTGCTGTGGTCAGAGTCTCTGTGGCTGCTGTGGTCAGAGTCTCTACGGGCTGCTGTGGTCAGTCTCTACGGGCTGCTGTGGTCAGAGTCTCTGTGGCTGCTGTGGTCAGAGTCTCTGTGTCTGCTGTGGTCAGAGTCTCTGTGGCTGCTGTGGTCAGAGTCTCTGTGGCTGCTGTGGTCAGAGTCTCTGTGGCTGCTGTGGTCAGAGTCTCTGTGGCTGCTGTGGTCAGAGTCTCTGTGGCTGCTGTGGTCAGAGTCTCTGTGGCTGCTGTGGTCAGAGTCTCTACGGGCTGCTGTGGTCAGAGTCTCTGTGGCTGCTGTGGTCAGAGTCTCTACGGGCTGCTGTGGTCAGTCTCTACGGGCTGCTGTGGTCAGAGTCTCTGTGGCTGCTGTGGTCAGAGTCTCTGTGGCTGCTGTGGTCAGAGTCTCTGTGTCTGCTGTGGTCAGAGTCTCTGTGGCTGCTGTGGTCAGAGTCTCTGTGGCTGCTGTGGTCAGAGTCTCTGTGGCTGCTGTGGTCAGAGTCTCTGTGGCTGCTGTGGTCAGAGTCTCTGTGGCTGCTGTGGTCAGAGTCTCTGTGGCTGCTGTGGTCAGAGTCTCTACGGGCTGCTGTGGTCAGAGTCTCTGTGGCTGCTGTGGTCAGAGTCTCTGTGGCTGCTGTGGTCAGAGTCTCTGTGGCTGCTGTGGTCAGAGTCTCTTCGGCTGCTGTGGTCAGTCTCTACGGGCTGCTGTGGTCAGACGTCAGTGAAAATAACAGACATTGCTGATCCCGTGCGAATGCGCTGTCAGATCTCAAAACAGAAGACTACACTGAGACCAGAGAAAGACCAGAATAAAGACCAGAGAGAGAAGGCCAGAGGAAAAAAACAGAGATAGACCTGAAACAGAGGTACCGCATGCCTCTCACCAGGTATCCGAAGAGGTCGTTCGGTCTGCGGACACACATCTCGTTCAGCGCCCGCTCCAGCTGCTCAAGGACTCTGTTGTTCTGACGGTAGAAGTCCATGGCATTCTGTCTCCTCTCCCTCAGGTTCCGGTCCATAGCTACCCCGCTGTGGAGCCACGCCTTACCGGTTATTAGGGCGATAGTTCTCTCAGGAGTCTGGAGAAGTTGGAGAAGCTAGCGCCGTTAGCCAAAGCTCCGTTTGTTGTGTTCGGTTTCCATGGCGACCACTTTTTAATTGGAAAATATGATGTTATCAACAATTTATATAAATGTATTTCATATCGCTTAAGTTCATGTGGGATTGTTCTGTTTATACATGTTATCACTTATTAAGAATTAGAAATATACAAAATTACAAAAGATAATAATACAACCTTTGAGTCACGTGGTACAACTTTCCCATTACAAACGATCACGGAACTCCATTAAATTCATTAAGAGAAATTCATTAAACTTCTCATCCAATGTTTAATGTAGGAAATCCAATGAGAACAAAAAGTTTTTCTAATCTTTTCACATTGTTTTGACCAAAAAGGCACCACACAATAACATGACCTTTTGTCCATAGGGGCCACATGCGTCACATGGCAAAATGAAACAAAACCATAGAACCAACGCAGTACTGAAAAGTGAATCAAGGCACACACAAAATCAAAATCCAGTGTAATAATAGAAAAAATGACCAAAACACACAAAAAAATCCAGAAACCTGTTGCTAAGACGGTTACTAAGGTAAACTGGATTGGACAGTCCTCATATCTGGATTAACAAAGACAATATAAACATGAGGATCACAGAGAGGCCCAGTCCTGGGTCTACAGCCTCAGTCCTGGATCTATAGCCTCAGTCCTGAGTCTACAGCCTCAGTCCTGGGTCTACAGCCTCAGTCCTGGGTCTACAGCTACATCCTCAGTCCTGGGTCTACAGCCTCAGTCCTGGATCTACAGCTACATCCTCAGTCCTGGGTCTACAGCCTCAGTCCTGGGTCTACAGTCTCAGTCCTGGATCTACAGCTACATCCTCAGTCCTGGGTCTACAGCCTCAGTCCTGGGTCTACAGCCTCAGTCCTGGGTCTACAGCCTCAGTCCTGGATCTACAGCCTCAGTCCTGGGTCTACAGCCTCAGTCCTGGGTCTACAGCCTCAGTCCTGGGTCTACAGCCTCAGTCCTGGGTCTACAGTCTCAGTCCTGGATCTACAGCCTCAGTCCTGGGTCTACAGCCTCAGTCCTGGATCTACAGTCTCAGTCCTGGGTCTACAGCCTCAGTCCTGGATCTACAGTCTCAGTCCTGGGTCTACAGCCTCAGTCCTGGATCTACAGTCTCAGTCCTGGGTCTACAGCCTCAGTCCTGGGTCTTCAGCCTGAAGAAGATTACAAAGTCTGGGGTTGTGTCTTTAATTCAGACAGAAGACGTGTTTTATTGTTGATGGTAGACAGCACGAACAAAGGTGTTATTATACAGCATGGAGGAATGGAGACCGTCCAATCAGCTCTCGCCACAGTAGTGCCAGTGGCTTCAACCTTGATATAACCAAAACATGCAGTGGAGAAAATTACTGCCTTGTGCATATTATTAGAAAGATGAATTAGAACTTTAATCACAGTTGATTCAAAGTGTCATGACATCTCTAAAGCCTCAGTCCTGGGTCTAAAGCCTCAGTCCCGCCCCCTATGGAACGATGGCTCCTACTGTATGTGTTTGTTATTATTGTATTTCCTGTGTTTGAACTGTTTGATTCTCTGATCTGTCGTTGGTGAATCCACAACTTTGGAAAGTCCTTCATAGACGACTGCTGTTGTGTTTTAGGGCTATTCACAAATACATTTAGCTGGATCTATATCTGATCATGGGACAATACGGTTTCTTTGATCTCAGTGTAAAGTATTGAACTATAATATAATACATAGTAGAAATAAGCAGCAGTAGCAGCACCGCTCAGACACGCAGCTGTGGCGCTCTCTAGCGGACACTCTGTGAACAGCACTGAGACGCACGTGCTGGTCTCGGGTCTGTTCCCTCTCTCTCCTGCAGGAGGCGTCCCTCTGTAAACCCCTGTCCCGTCAGAGGGAGGGTCCTGAGTCCTGAGTCCAGACCCAGAGACCACCGCCCGTGTGCGTGCGTGTGAGAGACCAGGCCACGCTGAGACCAGACCCAGGACCCAGACCAGGATCCAGACCAGGATCCGGACCCAGGAGCAGGACTGCAGCCCGTCCCGCGTGGAGCGTCCGCAGCGGGACAGCATCATGAGCGACACGGAGAAGATCATCGCAGGTACAGGCTGTCCCGTTAGTCCTGCCTAGACCGGGGTTAGTCCTGCTCTAGACCAGGGTTAGTCCTGCTTTAGAACGAGTTTAGATCTGATTTAGACCGGGTTTAGACCTGCTTTAGACCGGGTTAGATCCTTCTGCACCAGCAGGTCTGGAGCAGAACTCACAGAGCGGTGGGAGGATGTAACTTTCACGCAGTCAGGGAGTCAGATCCCAAAGGAAACGTGTGTCTTAAAGCAGGTCTAGAGAAGGACTAGAGCAGGACTAGCACAGGACTAGAGCAGGTCAAGAGAAGGTCTAGATGCAGGTCTAGAGCAGGTCTAGAGCAGGACTAGAGCAGGACTAGAGCAGGACTAGAGCAGGAATAGAGCAGGACTAGAGCAGGACTAAAGCAGGTCTAAAACCGGACTACAGCAGGTCTAATACTTGGTCTAAAGTTGGATCTAGACCAGGACACTCTGCTTTGGTCCTGGTTGTGTTTGGACGTTTGTTGCGTCTGGCGCGTGTGCCTGGGGCGTGTTTTGGTGCAGCGTGCGCGTGCGTGCGGGCCCGCAGTGACGCAGTGAAATGGTGATGCGCGTGCGCGTGTCCCGGTGCAGACTGCGGAGTACGGAGGCCGAGAGGAGAGAGGGGATGGGGGAGAGGAGGGGGTGCTCTATCTAGTCTCATAAATAACACATGAAGTTTGAACAGAAAGATTCTGAAAGTAAAATGTTGTGAACAAATCACAACACAACTCTCTCGCTGTCTGGTCTCTCTCCCTGGTCTCTTTATAGTCTCTCTGTTTCTCTCTCTGGTCTTTCTCTCTCTCTCTCTCTAGTCTCTCCCTGATCTCTCTTTCTCTCTCTGTCTAGTCTTTGTTTCTCTCGCTGGTCTCTCTCTAGTCTCTCTCCGGTCTCTATTTGGTCTCTCTCTCTCTGGTCTCTCTTTCTCTCTGGTCTCTCTCTGTCTGATCTCTCTCTGTCTGGTTTGGTCTCTCTCTCTCTCGCTCTCTCTCTGGTCTCTCTGTCTGGTCTCTCAGGTAAATGGCTCTTGTTCGCTCTCTCGCTCTCTCTGCTCTCTCTCTGCTCTCTCTCTGCCCTCTCTCTGCTCTCTCTCTGTTCTCTCTCTGCGCTCTCTCTGCGCTCTCTCTGCTCTCTCTGGTCCCTCTGCAGGTCCTGGTCCCACAGAGACAGAGTGACACAGTTCTGACAGAGGAAATGGACCACTTCCTGTTTCCTATTTTAGCCGTGTCTCATCCCACTTCCTGCTACTCTCTCATGAGTTTATGGGTTTATTCTTTTGGGAAGAGCGTCCAGGTCTGATCCAGGAGAGGGGGAGGACCCTAGATTCATGGAGAAAATATGCCATGATCACAGCTGTATTGAGGGCAGCCATGTTTGTAGTCCCCCAGGTCTGTAGTTCTGATTGTGGAAGTGGAAACACACTGTGGACTCACTGTTTGACTCTTTGGGCTGAATCCTCATTGGCGGACTGTGGGGACTCTCTCTCCCTGGTCTGACCCGTCTCTAGTCTCTCTTTAGTCTCTCTCTTGTATCTCTGGTCTCTCTAGTCTTTCTCTGGTCTCTCTTTGGTCTCTCTCCCTGGTCTGACCTGTCTCTTGTCGCTCTCTAGTCTCTCTCTTGTATCTCTGGTCTCTCTAGTCTTTCTCTGGTCTCTCTTTGGTCTCTCTCTTGGCTCTCTCTAGTCTCTCTCTTGTATCTCTGGTCTCTCTAGTCTCCCTCTGGTCTCTCTCTAGTCTTTCTGGTCTCGCTCTCTCTAGTCTCTCTCTCTCTCTGGTCTCTCTTTCTTTGGTCTCTATCTCCCTGGTTTTTCTCTCTCTGAACCAGGACTGAACCAGGAGCAGGTCTTTGAAGTGTCTGTAAAAACACAAATGCCTCTGATGCTGTTAAAGTGTGTAATGGCGGCAATGGTGGCCCCTGATTGGTCGGTTGAGCTCAGCGGGACGTCCCATAATTGTGACAGAGTGGTTTTAGAGGCACTCATCCGCTCAGCAGGGGGTCGAGTCCCGCTGTGTCTGTTATGGTCCAGAGGAGGAACCAGGAAGACGACAAACATCAAAGACACATCCATTAACCAGCAACGAAATGTCACCGTTTAACTGACAGCTGTACCATTAATGACAGACCAGTTTCATCTCAATCAAATCCTCGAACTCTCTCTCTAGTCTTTCTCGCGTCTCTGTCTGGTCTCTCTCTGGTCTCTCTCTGGTCTCTCTCTGGTCTCTCTCTGGTCTCTCTATGGTCTCTCTATGGTCTCTCTAGTCTTTCTCCGATCTCTCTCTGGTCTCTCTCTGGTCTCTCTATGGTCTCTCTATGGTCTCTCTAGTCTTTCTCCGATCTCTCTCTGGTCTCTCTCTGGTCTCTCTCTCCGGTCTCTTCCTCTGGTCTCCATGGTCTCTCTGTTCTCTCTTTGGTCTGTCTCTGGTCTCTCTCTAGTCTCTCTCTGGTCTCTCTTTGGTCTCTCTCTGGTCTCTCTCTGGTCTCTCTCTGGTCTCTCTCTGGTCTCTCTCTGTTCTCTCTCTGGTCTCTCTCTGGTCTCTCTCACACACAGTTTCACTCTGAGCTATTGTTCGGTTCAACATTTTTCATTGGAGTCAGCAGCAAAACTCAGCACAAAACACCAACAAAGGAGAGATGCCAACGCACCAGAAAGAGACCAGAGAGAGACCAGAAAGAGACCAGAAAGAGACCAGAGAGAGACCAGAAAGAGACCAGAAAGAGACCAGAGAGAGAGACCAGAGAGAGACCAGAGAGAGACCAGAGAGAGGCCAGAGAGAGGCCAGAAAGAGACCAGAGACAGACCAGAGAGAGACCAGAGAGACTAGAGACCAGAGGGAGACCAGTTGAACCAGTCTTGACCTGAAGCTAAACACTTGTTTGTTTCCTCAGATCCGTCTCCTGCGAAGAGCATCGGAGACCCAGGAATCACCCCCCTGTCCCCAACACACACACAGGTAACACACACACCCACGCACACACACACACACACACACACACCCACACACACACACACGCACGCACGCACGCACGCACGCACGCACACATACATACACATACACATACACACAAACATACACATGTGTAATAAACTGAAGGATTGGACTGAACCAGGACTGAATCAGGACTGAATCAAATGCTGGGCCTCTCTCTTTTGTTTGTCTAATTAGTGACGCAACTTTGACCAAACAAACACAAACAGGCCGAGAGAAAGAATCCACACATGAGACCAGGTCTGAATCAGGTCTGAACCAGGTCTTGCCCAGGTCTGAACCAGGTCTGAATCAGGTCTAAACCCGGTCTGAATCAGGTCAGAACCAGGTCTGAACCAGGTCTGAACCAGGTCTGAACCAGGTCTGAACCAGGTCTGAATCAGGTCGGCACCAGGTCTGAATCAGGTCAGAACCAGGTCTGAACTAGGACTGACCCAGGTCTGAAACTGTTCCAAGACCAAATGGCATCCGATGTAGTTTGTGTGTGTTCACAGACAATAAACATAACTTTCACTGGTCTCTCTCTGGTCTCTGGTCTCTGGTATTTGGTCTGTCTGGTCTCTGGTATTTGGTCTGTCTGGTCTCTGGTATCTGGTTCTCTCTGGTCTCTGGTCTCTCTGGTCTCTCTGGTCTCTGGTCTCTGGTCTCTCTGGTCTCTGGTCTCTCTGGTCTCTCTGGTCTCTCTGGTCTCTCTGGTCTCTCTGGTCTCTCTCTGGTCTCTCTGGTCTCTGGTCTCTGGTATTTGGTCTGTCTGGTCTCTGGTCTCTTTGGTCTCTGGTCTCTGGTATTTGGTCTGTCTGGTCTCTGGTATCTGGTTCTCTCTGGTCTCTGGTCTCTCTGGTCTCTCTGGTCTCTCTGGTCTCTGGTTTCTCTGGTCTCTCTGGTCTCTCTGGTCTCTGATCTCTGGTCTCTCTGGTCTCTCTGGTCTCTGGTCTTTCTGGTCTCTCTGGTCTCTCTGGTCTCTCTGGTCTCTCTCTCTGGTCTCTCTGGTCTCTCTGGTCTCTGGTCTCTCTGGTCTCTCTGGTCTCTCTGGTCTCTCTGGTCTCTGATCTCTGGTCTCTCTGGTCTCTCTGGTCTCTCTGGTCTCTGATCTCTGGTCTCTCTGGTCTCTGGTCTCTCTGGTCTCTCTGGTCTCTGGTCTCTGATCTCTGGTCTCTCTGGTCTCTCTGGTCTCTGGTCTCTCTGGTCTCTCTGGTCTCTGATCTCTCTGGTCTCTCTGGTCTCTGATCTCTGGTCTCTCTGGTCTCTCTGGTCTCTGGTCTCTGGTCTCTCTGGTTTCTCTGGTCTCTCTGGTCTCTGGTCTCTGATCTCTCTGGTCTCTCTGGTCTCTGGTTTCTGGTCTCTCTGGTCACTGGTCTCTCTGGTCTCTCTGGTCTCTGGTCTCTGGTCTCTCTGGTCTCTGATCTCTCTGGTCTCTCTGGTCTCTGGTTTCTGGTCTCTCTGGTCACTGGTCTCTCTGGTCTCTCTGGTCTCTCTGGTCTCTGGTTTCTGGTCTCTCTGGTCTCTGGTCTCTGGTCTCTCTGGTCTCTCTGGTCTCTGGTTTCTGGTCTCTCTGGTCACTGGTCTCTCTGGTCTCTCTGGTCTCTGGTCTCTGATCTCTCTGGTCTCTCTGGTCTCTGGTTTCTGGTCTCTCTGGTCTCTGGTCTCTGGTCTCTCTGGTCTCTCTGGTCTCTCTGGTCTCTGGTTTCTGGTCTCTCTGGTCACTGGTCTCTCTGGTCTCTCTGGTCTCTGGTCTCTGGTCTCTGATCTCTCTGGTCTCTCTGGTCTCTGGTTTCTGGTCTCTCTGGTCTCTGGTCTCTCTGGTCTCTCTGGTCTCTGATCTCTGGTCTGTTGCAGAATGACTCCGCTCACGTTCCTGATGCTCCGTCTTTTGTCGTTGTCGTCGCCATCGACTTTGGAACCACATCCAGTGGTTACGCCTACGCCTTCAGCAAGGAGCCAGAGTGTATCCACACCATGAGGTACGAGCCGCAAGCGGCACTGCAGGCCCCAACAGACTCACCATAAGAGTTATCACAGGTCTCTGAATGACTCAACGATTATAAGACTCTCCAGGACGCCATAAAAATAAGAATAAGAATAATTGATTGACTGCGGAACCTTCCGCAGTCAACCATTGGTTTTGTATTTCTTTATTCCGTCATTTTTTTTGACACGTTTCACAGCTTTCACATTTTCAACAATTTCCACAAGTTATACATCAAAACGTTCCACATGTTTGGGAGATTATTGCTATTACTTTTGGGACTTCAGCGATTTCCGGTTTTTCCGCAATCGGACAAAAATCTGCATTGAGAATTCTGCAATGCATTTTAATAGGCCCATGCATTTTAATAGGACTTCAGCTCTTTCAGACATTTCTACAGTTTCAATGATTCAACAGTTTCAAGGATTCAACAGTTTCAAGGATTTCAGCAGTTTCAAGATTTCAAGAGTTTCAAGGACTTCAACAGTTTCAAGGACTTCAGCAGTTTCAAGGACTTCAGCAGTTTCAAGGACTTCAGCAGTTTCAAGGACTTCAGTGTAATCATGCAACCTAATAGGGATTTTTCCATGTAAACCAGTATAATGCAACTTAATAGGGATTTTTCCATGTAAACCAGTATAATGCAACTTAATAGGGTTTTTTCATGTAAACCAGTATAATGCAACTTAATAGGGTTTTTTTTCATGTAAACCAGTATAATGCAACTTAATGGGGATTTTTCCATGTAAACCAGTATAATGCAACTTAATAGGGGTTTTTACATGTAAACCAGTATAATGCAACTTAATAGGGTTTTTTCATGTAAACCAGTATAATGCAACTTAATAGGGATTTTTCCATGTAAACCAGTATAATGCAACTTAATAGGGGTTTTTACATGTAAACCAGTATAATGCAACTTAATAGGGGTTTTTCCATGTAAACCAGTATAATGCAACTTAATAGGGTTTTTTTCATGTAAACCAGTATAATGCAACTTAATGGGGATTTTTCCATGTAAACCAGTATTATGCAACTTAATAGGGATTTTTCCATGTAAACCAGTATAATGCAACTTAATAGGGTTTTTTTCATGTTAACCAGTATAATGCAACTTAATAGGGTTTTTTTCATGTAAACCAGTATAATGCAACTTAATAGGGTTTTTTCATGTATAATGCAACCTAATAGGTTGCATTATACCACCAGACCAAGACCCAAACGAAGACTCAGACCACCACCAGATAATGACCACAGACCAGGTTTCCTTAGTTACAGGAACCAAATTGTTTCAGCGGTGAGGGGATTTTTCAGTTTCAAGGACACTTTCAATACATTCAGTAGTTTCAAGGATTTCAGCTGTTTAAGAATTTAACCAGTTTCAAGGATATCAGGAGGTTCAAGGATTTCAGGAGTTTCCACACTTTCAACAGTTTCCAGGTTTAAAAAAGTTTCAAGGATTTCAGGAGTTTCAATGTTTCAACAGTTTCAAGGATTTCAGGAGTTTAAAGGTTTCAACAATTTCAAGGACTTCAGGAGTTTCAAATATCTATCAAGTATTTTAACAGTTTCAAGGCTTTTTAAAGGATTTCAAGGATTTTTTTTAGCAGATTTCCACATTAGATCTGTTCCGCAGTCAATCGCAATGGCTTCAGCCATTGCAAGTTTCTAGTTAAATAAGGTTCTTGAGTGAGATGTGAAAATGTCCAGAGGTCAACTGTCACAAATGCATCAGAAGATTATGTTTATGGTACTGCAGCCTAGTGCCCTCCTCTGGTACCGCAGCCTAGTGTCCTCCTCTGGTACTGCAGCCTAGTGTCCTCC